AGTTGACGTCAGCAGCTCCCCATCCCCACTGTAAACAGTAGGGCTGGGGGTAAACGATTATTTTTAAAACGATTATTCTGACGATTATTTTATCGAATAGTCGACTATTCTAATGACTATTTAGAAAATTAATCTAATGATTATTTTTCTATTGCACAATTAACAAAAACCAGAAAATCTCAAATAAATTCCTCAAAAAAATTGATAAATTCTTACTGTAAGAGAATAAACACTACAGGCCTTCCATTTTGTATAACACTGCTTTTATTGTGTTGCGGTTGGTTATGTTCTGGTGACGTGTAGAACTTGGGAGTGCAGGCTGCTGCCTGAGAGGTGGTAGAAGATGGAGTGTCTCCATGCTGCTTTGTTTTGGTCACTTATGTGCGTGAGGCAAGTGGTGTTACGGGTTAAACCAAACTCAAGGTGATATTTTACACTAAACCGAAAACCCACAACACTCTAAATGTAATGAAAGGGAGATCTACACCACAAAAAAGATGAACTCTAAACCAAAACGTAACAGCTTATCCCAACGCAAGAAGCTGTTAGCGAAGATGCTAACGGTAGCTTTACCAACGTTAAGTTCAAGTTACCAAGTTTAAATAAACCAAAAATACCCAGCAGCAAACAGACCAGCATGGAGGAGAGACTGCTACCACCAAAACAGCTCTCCTCATGTCTGAAAGAAGCTCCTTAATGAAGGGAGAAGCGCTCCCGGTGATTTTCTACATCTGCGATAGAGACGAAGCAGCGCATCTGACCCCGGAAGTTGTTGTCCGTTGCCGGGAGACGAAGGGGCAAAACAGGAAAATAATCTAGTAGTGGACGGACGTTGTTCCGGGTCTTCGGTATTTGGCGGAGATGTTAGTGAAGGCGGAGAAGAGGGCGAACTAGAGGAAAAACGGGCAGATTCCTCCTCTATTTACAAACTCCTGGGGATGCAACAAGTGGGCGCGGTGCGTAGGGTTGTCACGGTATGAAAATTTAACCTCACGGTTATTGTGACCAAAATTATCACGGTTTTCAGTATTATCGCGGTATTTTTTAAACGGTGTTGCATATGTTCAGAAAGCATTGATAGTCCTGTTCTACACAAACTGAAATAGTTCTGAAAAGGTTTAACAGTGTTTATTAAACCTAAAATAACACAAAGCCTTAGCAAAAGTGCAACTTTTCACAAGTAAAGGAACAAATAGCTTATTTTTCTGGAACTTGTTACAGTAGTCAGTGCAGGTTTAAATTATACAAATCCAAACATTCAAAACATAAACAATATGTAAACAAATCAAAGAAACAACACTTGTTTTCTCATATACTTGTTTTCTTCATTATCAAAATGAAAATCTAAAACTCCAGTCCACACTTGACTTGAGCACCGTACAAGTCAACCTTAAAAAATATGTATTTAAAATAAATATCCACTTTAAACAAATTACTAAAATAACTACTACACTATGTAATCAAATCCAAATGTTCAAGTATAAATGGCATTGAATAAGTAAACAAATCCATGACAAGGAACTAATTGTATATTTCTCTTCATCATCAACAAATAAGATGCTTCATCCAGCAACAGGGTGTCCGTGACACGGTTTAAATGCTGGCAGAGGACGCTGCGGCTGCAGTATATAGTGACTCGTTGCATTCTCCCTCAACCAAAAGTCCTCACGTCATGCATTTCAGCTAAAATGCTAATGTTATCTTACCTTGCACTGGCTGTGGAGACGTGGGTGATGGTCACGCAGATGTGCCATGAGATTTGAAGTGTTGCTGCCTTCTGCAGACACTTGTTTCCTGCACGTTCTGCAAACGGGATAGCCGTCTTCTATTAACTGTCCCTCAGCATTTTTCAGAAATCCCAAATATGCCCATACTTCCGATTTAGTCTTCTTTGAGGGCTGGTGGATGTCCTGGGCGCTGCCGTCGCCTCCTTCGGCCATTATTTCAGCTTCAAAGTTTTGGTGCCGTTGCAAATTAAAAAGTGCGTGTGCGCGCAGCGGGAACTTCAGCTGAAGCGACGGTGGCTGGTAAGGGTCATCGCGCCGAAACCGCGGCCACGGTAAACCCACCGAGATAATATAGTTTTTTAAAAACTGGACGGTTATTTTTATTGTCAACTTTTTTACCGGGGTTTACCGCTATACCGGTTACCGTGACAACCCTAGCGGTGCGTCGACTTCCGGATCTGACGTCGACAAATTTTTAGAATCGAGCCGTCGACTTCGTCGAGGCTTCGCTACAGCCCTAGTAAACAGTGTGAGCGAGTTGCTGCCTTCCTCTCCTGAGGCGCCGGACAGTTTGCCAGAACCTCTTTGGAGCCGATCGATAGTCTTTCTCCATGGCCTCACCAAACTCCTCCCACGCCCGAGATTTTGCCTCGGCAACTGCCACTGCTGCACCCCGCTTGGCTATCCGGTACCTGTCTGCTGCCTCCGGAGACCCACAGACCAGCCATGCCCTGTAGGCCTCCTTCTTCAGCCTGACTGCTCCCCGAACCTCTGGTGTCCACCAGCGGGTACGGGGGTTGCCACCACGACTGGCACCGGCCACCTTACGACCACAGCTAGCAACAGCCGCCTCGACAATCGCAGAGTGGAACAAGGCCCACTCGGACTCAATGTCCCCCACTGCTCTCGGGACGTGGTCAAAGCTCTGCCGGAGGTGGGAGTTGAAGACCGTCTTGGCAGGTTCTTCTGCCAGGCGTTCCCAGCAGACCCTCACTATGCGTTTGGGTCTGCCAGGTCTACGCGGCATGTTCCCTTGCCATCTGATCCAACTCGCCACCAGGTGGTGATCAGTTGACAGCTCCGCCCCTCTCTTCACTCGGGTGTCCAAAACATACGGCCGCAGGTCAGATGATACGACTACAAAATCTTTCATCGACCTGTGACCTAGGCTGCCCTGGTACCAAGTGTACCGGTGGGCATCCTTATGTTCGAACATGGTGTTCGTTATGGCCAAACTGCGGCTTGCACAGAAGTCCAATAACAAAACACCGCTCGAGTTCAGATTAGGTGGGCCGTTCCTCCCAATCACACCCCTCCAGGTCAAGCTGTCATTGCCCACGTGAGCATTGAAGTCCCCCAGCAGGACAATGAAGTCCCCTGATGGAGCACTATCTAGCACTCGTCCCAGGGACTCCAAAAAGGGTGGGTACTCTGAACTGATATTTGGCCCATAAGCACAAACAACAGTCAGGACCCGTTCCCCGACCCGAAGGCGCAAGGAAGCTACCCTCTTGTCCCCCGGGGTAAACCCCAACACACAGGCAGAGAGTCTCAGTGATTTATTCTTTAATTGGTGTGATTTTGGGGGCTTTAAAAAGAAACTTGCTGTTAACAGAATCCTGCCAGAGAGCTACGTTGTGGATTTACTTGATCCCAGCGCTGATTCTGTGGCAGCTGACTAGGAGGACGTTGAGCATTTTTGGCTTCACGGGAATTGTTTCATATCCACTCGTCACTTAAAGAGCAAGTCACCCCCATATCAACTTATTTTGCTGTTAAACTATATAAATGCGTGTCTAATCGTGCTGCAGACATGTGTAGTCAACAGTTTTGCACTTTAGTGCATTTTAGTTCAAATTTAAATTTTCTGCCTAAAAGTGTCAGTGTTGTGCCGTTTTCAGGTAAAAACTCTGCCATCGCTATTGGCTAAGAGGTACCCCAGAACATTAGCTGGTACCATATGATGTCACAATGTCGTTGTGAGCCTGTGTGTGTGTATTTGTTAGCGGCTCCGCCCTCTTGGTCTGCTAGGCAACAGCATTTGTTGCATTTTTCAAACAGGAAGTGGGAGCAGAGTAAGAATCTGGTAGGGGGTGACTTAGGCCTAGTCCACACGTAGCCGGGTTTTTTTAAAACGAATATCCACCCCTCTAAAAACTTGCATCCACACCACCTCGTTTAAAAAAATAAACTCTGTCCACACGTACCCGGATAAATACGTTGTTAAGGACATGCCAGACCTGTAGGCGGCAGTACTTCCCCCGTTCTTAACCTCGTCCTTCGTCTGTGGTCTTCCGCAAGGAGCAGTAATTCCGCTTGCAAAAACAAACAAGCAGAAAGCGCTTGGACAATTGATAAAGCGAGCGCAGCTCTGAGGGCATCCATGCTGTCGGCTAGTGTAAACACAGGTCGCACACGTGATGTCAGCATTTTTTAGTCGCGGAAAGTGACGTTGCGGACCTTAAAACTCCGGTTTTGTCTGTCCACACGCACACACCCAAAACGGAGAAAACGCAGATCTTCACTTTGGCCGGAGTTTTTAAAAAGATCCGTTTTCGTGTGAAAAAACTCCGTTTTCGTGTGGATGACAGGCCAAAACGTAGAAAAATATCTACGTTTTGGCAGATCCCCGGCTACGTGTGGACAGGGCCTTGCTCTTTAAAGGCCTGAGGAGCATTTGTTTTACCAAATGCGTTATGAATTGTGTACTGAGGCATCCATATTGCATTGTAGGAGTCAGAATTTATGCATCTTCTGTGACATGATTTCACTTTTGTGTTGACATGTGACCAAATAACCAGAGTGGTTCAAAGGCTGATGCAGTGATGGGGATTTCATCATCTAATCAGTGCAGAGGAAACTTTAGCTGCAAAAATCAAAAAGGCCTTGAGCTCCAAACTCCACTGGGTTAATTATTAGCTGAAAAATCAATAAATGCTCCTCTCTCTGTTGCTCAAAATGCTCACCAGGGTTGTTTTTCAATGTTGACTTGAAGATTGATGTGCAGCGGAGCGTTTTAGAGCTCTGTGGCTGTGGTGAGAGTGGGGGAACGCTAAATCGTAGCTGAATAATAAAATAAAACATTGTTCAGGCGCCTGATCCCGCTTCGGCCTGATGAACAGACGCCTGCTCGTGTCCAGGCTGCTCAGGATAAACGAAGCATTGTGTCAGAATGAAACCACGGCCATATGTCTGCGAGGCATGTGTCCTCCGTCTCCTGGTGTTATTCGGAGGTCAAGCATGTCACAGTTTCACACCGCTGTTGTTTTTCAGTGAAACGGTTCCGGGAGCCTGTGGGAATCCGACGACCGTGGAGGATCTGGTCAGAACCTTTTCCTTGTCTCTCACTGTCCTGTCCTTCACCCTTTCTGTTTACCATCCTGCTAGGAAATGTATTGATCAAAAGATCAAAATGGTCAGACTGTGACTCTTGGCTTAAATGTGATGCAGCGCAAGAGCAAAGTCACATTTGTGTCTTTTTGCAGGTTTTTTGACACATCCAAACAGGCCATTGGTGCTCTGTTTATCCACTTTGCTAATGTCTTCCTGTCCACGCTCACCAAAGAGGACCCGTGCTCTCTGTGAGTAACATCCCATAATAAGATGCATCATTTCTGTCGCCACGTAACTTAACCCTTGACTTTACTATACACGTGAGTCGTTAGAGGACAAAAACGTCCGCTTGTAAAAGTGGCGATCAAAAATGTGTACATTCATAATTTATCTTGCTTTTTCTCATAGATCTGGTAAACGACGTCAGCCCTGGTCCAACATTTATAAAATCATTTTGAGGCTTTTAACCCTTGAAAAGCCAGCTTGAATACTCAAAGTAACTGCTGTAATTTTTTTTTAGTTTAGTTTATTTCAAACAAAGAAAACATACATAATTTTTTTTAAAATACCACAAACAGAAAAAATACATATCATCATCCCTTCTTCTCTGTTTGAAAAGGAGTAGGCTGAAGTGGGAACTTATGTGTCCCTACCCCTTTATACAAGTAAGTTTTACTTGTTTACTAAATCTAACACAAAACCTACATTAAAACAAACAAAATGGTACAAGTCACCGAAAAAAACCCACCAAAAACCACCAAACCATATGGAAAAAAAAACTAAAAAAGAAAAAAAAACATCTTTTTACAATTGATACAATTTACTTTTCCTTAGAATAAAGGACACCCACATAAATCATCGAATATGTTTTTTATAATTCATTTTAAACACATTTATATTTGTACTTACTTTGATTTCTTCTTCTAAATTGTTCCATAATTTAACCCCTTTTATTGTGATACACATCTGTTTTAATGTTGTTCTAAACTTATGGATCTTTACGTTTAGTGTCCCTCTCAGGTTATATCCTCCTTCTCTCTCTGTGAACAGTTTCTGTATTTTATCAGGCATTCATTTATTTCTTACTTTATACATTATTTGTGCTGTTTTGTATTTAACCAAGTCCTGGAACGTCATTGTCCGCGTTTTAATAAAAAGTTCATTTGTGTGATCCAAATATCCTGCATTTGTTATTAATCTGATAGCCCTTTTCTGCATTGTCGTTATTGTTTGTAAACGACAATAACAATTTATGGGAACCCCCCCCCCTGAAAAAAAGTGTTATTTTCCCAAAAAACTACTTTTTCTTCCTGGGGCATTTATCAGTTTTGGTCATTTTATGAAATATCTAAAAATTGAAAAAATTTGCATCAACAGATTGATCTTAGCGGACAAAACCGTCCCGTCGACTTCCATTCAAACCACAGGTTTTGATGCTGTAACATCTGCAACACATAATCATGCTTTCTGTGATGTCAGGGCTTCATTTTGGAGAAAAGTAGTCAAATTCAGTCATTTCTCCATATGTGGCCCAGGCGAGAAATGGGCTCGAGACACGGGAGGCGACAAATGACCGCGATCAGCAAAATTTGTCGCTGTCGCTTTTATTACCGACCCGCGCCGTCGACGCGTTCTGTTCCATGGCGAAATCGAATCTTCCGTTGTTTTGATTGGCTGTCAGGTTGGAGGGAATTAAGGTTATTTAAGCGGTTCAGAGTTAAAAAGCGGCAGATATGATGTTTCACAAGGTGCTGCTAGAGTTTTGTGAAATCTTACTTCTGATTTTACTGTATAAAAAAACCAGAGAATGGGTTAATCCCATATTACAAACCAGAGAAAGAAACATACATACAATATCTCTATATTCTTTGGTAGAAATATAGTACAGTTCTGGGAAATCCGGTGTCGGTGCAGGATCGGCTCGGGGTCCTTCGACTGCCGATGACGTCAAAGAAGTTGATTGGCTGAACATGAAGCTTACGGAAGTGACGTTACCGCGTTATGATTTTGATTGGTCAGAACAAATTTGCGGTCGTAGTCTTAGCGGTTGTAGTCCTGTAGTCCAAAAATCAACATTTGTTGGAGAAAATATGTTTGAATTTCTAAAGGAAATGTAAAATATAAGCAAATGATAAACGGTGACCCTCAAAAGCTCTTGATGTTGATGAAATGGGGCAAAATAAAATATAAGAACTTTATTGAAAGACACCAAGCAATATTTAGAGTCAAATAATGTATTTAGATAACAACTAAGGAAATATACAGACGAACTCCACATTAATACAAACAGATGTGGCCTCCCGTGTGTCGAGCCCAGTCTACACATTTCTTTAGATCTGCTGTTTGTATTGAATATATATAAAAATTCTAATTGTTTTTGTTTTCTACACTTTGAAGTTCAGTAAGAGAGCCAAACTGTGTTTTATCAACTTATCAGAGGTCAGGTTGACCTTTTGAATTCAATACAAACGGCAGAAGCTCTAAAGGAATGTGTAGACTTTCTCGCCTGGGCCACATATGGAGAAATGACAGAGTTTGGTGGTGAACAGCAAAAATCCTAAATTTGACTACTTTTCTCCAAAATGAAACCCGAATATCACAGAAAGCATGGTTATTTGTTGCAGATGTTACAGGATCAAAAACTGTGGTTTGAATGGAAGTCAATGGGGCATTTTTGCCCGCTAAATATTCAAGTGTATATTGTTTTTTTTTTCATTGTGATCCCTTGGTCTATTTTCAAAATTCCAATTTGATTTTCAAAATTTTTCCAGAGAGAGGTTTTGTGACAACATTTTGTACCATATGCACAAACAATGGTGAAATGGCGTCCAAAAGAAAAGCAAAAAACTGCCCAAATGGACTAAAATGAGCCTAATGACGCCTGAAGGTTAAGATCTGCTTCTTTTCCCAGTTATCTGATGAATTTCCTGCTGGACGCAACGCTGGGAATGCTGGCAATCTGGCTGGCTGTGAAGTTGGTGTCCAGGCTGGTGGAGTACAAGCAGTGGACTCTGCTCGTGTTCGGAGAATATGGTGAATAACTTTTGTTTTTAGCGGATCTTTTATTTTCTTCTCATTTTTAAATACAGGAAAAGCCAGATGAGTCAACTGTGAATTAATGATAAAGAAACAGGAGGTATAGTTTTGACGTCTGCCACTAGAGGGTGGTGTAGACCAATCATGAGCAAGTAGGAGAACCAGCAACTCCAGCAGGAGCCAGAGGAGCATTCCCAGTGGCTTTAGTTAATTATTACACTTCACTCCCTTTACAGCCTTTTTCTTTTTGCATGACTTCATTGTGTGATGAGAACAAGCTGTGAGGCTGATTGCATCATTTCTATTCGAAAGAAACATGAATTTAGGTTTAAAACAGACTCTAATCAAGAACTGGTACTGAAGTTTATCCAACCTACATTATTAAAATTGTACTAATGATTTAAGTTGGATGAACTTAATTAAATTGCTTGTTACCAATTGAAGCAATTTTTTAAAGTTGGATCCACTTTTTCTTTTTACAGTGATTTTATGTCTAAAATGTCTTTTATTTTATAGTGAGTGACTAATTCAATAGATACATTTCACAAATTTAAACAAGGATTGTCCAGAAAATCAGAAGTTCTTAGATCACATTTGGGTATGCCCAAATTTTAAAAAGCCAGAAAGCCCATGGCCCTGCACATAACACCACAGCCTCCAGAAGTGAGAAGTTAAAGAGGGACTGCACACCATCAGAAAACGTAACTCCACCCCTAGTCAAGAATTGAAAAATGCTATGAAAGTGGGCGTCGCCAGGAGGCACAGAGTGGCATGGCCAAGTGTGGGGATTTCCATTCTGGGAGGGAGGGGCAGTGGGAGGCAAGGGCGTCAGTTTGTTTTCAGAATTGCTGGGGACAATAACCATACACTTGAGTGGGGTTTAAAAATTGCTGGGGACAATAAAGTAGGCTAGCACAGGGGTCGGCACCCCGCGGCTCTGGAGCCGCATGCGGCTCTTCCATCCATCTGATGCGGCTCTCTGTGCTTATAAAATAATGAATGGATATTTAAATAAAATGCTTTATATTTTACTGCATTAATTTTACATCTGTATGCCAATTCTAAATGTAAAGATTGTCTGCGTAAACCTGAACAGGTCCAACCCGGTCTTACTGTGAGACCGGGTTGGCGCGTCACGCTTGTGCGTAATCATATAGGCGCATTCTGAGCTGAAGAGGATGTGAGATTCTGGGATTCTCCTCAGACGGCTCCTGGATGTGTCGCCACATTGGAGACAGGAACAAGCGCTATTCAGCCAAAGTTTCATAATCAGGGAACATTTTCTAAGTGACAAGTCTCTCTGAGAGACAGGGTTTGGAAAACACTCGCTTCAGTGGGAGGAACCTTCCACATGCGCTCTGGTTCTCTGGGGTTAGTTTTATTGTTTCTCTTTGCAACAATCTTCACAGGAAGGCAAAACAGTTAAACGGCAGGTTACAGATATTTCCATTCGACTGTTTATTTTGACGGATGTACTCAAGGATGTTGCTTGGTTTGAAAGAATTACCCCGACGCACACTGATGCGCATGGATGAGCTGACATTTTAATCGTTAACGCACATCGCGGAGGTAAAAGATTCCCATCAGAACATCAGAGCTTTATACTGGACATGTGTTCAGCGCGGCTCGGAGCGCCCACGGTGGACAGTGAGCTGAAGATCTGAGGGGTTCGCAGCGCAGTGCAGAACCATGGTGCATGCAATGATTTCCTCCCACTGAAGCGGTCTGGAAACCCGGTCTCTCTGAGGGATGTGTCACTTGGAAAAATGTTCTTTTTATGAAATTATGAAACTTTGGCTGAACAGCGCTTGTTTCCGTCTCTAATATGGAGACGCATGACGCGTAGAGACATTTGATTACGCACAAAGTTCGTGTGGAGCAGAAGCGGTCGGGCCACGGCAGGTGAAACGTTCCTAGCCTACATGAAGTGGAACTGTTTAATTGTAACATTAATATGTTACACGCTGGTCTGGTTGGTTAGACCAGTGTTTGAAGTGGAAAACAAACAAACACACACACACACACACACACACACACACACACACACACACACACACACACACCAATTAAAATAATGCTGATAGCGTGGACTAGAAGACAGGTGATGGTTTACGTATTTAAATGATCAGGCTGCTGTAAAATGTAATCTCCATCCACACCCAGACACAATTATCCTCTATTCTTTCTCTATTTGCTCTGCTCTTGTCTGGGCCGATCAGCTGATGGTGCGCGCGACGCGCCTAACTAGCGGCTGATGCACATTTTACGCATTTGGAGAGGTGGGCTGGATGCTTTGCGTTTACTGGAAGATGGTCCACTTAACGCACGGGTGTAGACTACATATTAATGACGAATGAATGTAAATTAAATTGTGAGTTTTTACTTCATATTTTATAAATAAAAATGACGGGGGAACACATTTATGACGTCTTTTTAAACTAAATTTTCTAGCGCGACCTGCCTGCTTCACTTAAGTCACTGCTTATTAAGGTCCGTCTAAAATTACTGTGGGAAATGGGTAATAATGGCTCTTTGATGGGAACAGGTTCCCGACCCCTGGTATAAGATCTGAGCTGGTAAAACAAAAATCCTCATCTGCAGGCGTTTTTGAAAGTGGGGGGGACACAGCTGCCAATCACAAATTTTGCCGGGGACATGTCCCCGGCGTCCCCGGTTAAAATGACGCCTATGGTGGGAGGAGACTACTGATGACGTGAAATTGTTCCGGCCCCAGCCAGTCACAAGTTTAAAATGCAGTAGCTGCTGTTCTGCCACAGGGGGCAGCACTGAGACGTTTTTAGACCTAGATTCTAGATTTAATCGAGTTTACACAAACATGTCAAAAAGTGCACAGAAGCAGAAAGACTGCATTTGTAAAGACCCAATTGTTCAGTTGATTAGTAAAAAAAAATATTATTTTGGGCTTTAGTTACTCTTTAAGAAAATAAAAGCATGCTTACAAAGCCAGGGGTGCCTCCAGAAAATTTTGATAAGGGTGGCCAGATGGGGCCAAAGACATTTTTGGGGTGGCACGCCAAATTGGTCCTTGTGGTAACTCTGGGAGAGTTTAGTCTGTGGCGATGTATTGCATTGCTTCTTTATTGGCTTTTATTTAAAAAAAGAAAGTATTTATCCAAAACATTTTACAAACAAGCATTTCAGAAAAATACATTTCAGTTACTTCAAATTTTATTTTAAAATGTATCCTTTTAGGTTAATTCACCTGTTGCTGATGTTGTGTTCACAAAAAAACAATGGAGATAAAAACTTTTTAAATGGTAAAAGGCAGAAACATGTAATTTTTTATTCTGATTATTTCTTTACTCATGAATTGTATTATTTTTATTTTGCTTTACAATTATGTCTTGAATAAATAAGATCAATTTATAGTTTGACTGAACATTAATGTCGTTTATTAACACTGGCTTTTCCTGCGGAGGGGGGGCAGCAATTTTCTAGGGGTGGCCATGGCCACCCCGTGGGAGCGCCTTTGTGCAAAGCAGATTGTGAGAAAATAATTAGAATCCGTTTTTCCAATTTTATATTCATGAAGATTATTTGGAACCAAAATGAAACCGTTTCATTATGTGTCTGATTCTGTCCCATAAACGTCTTCAGTGACAAAGTTAATTGGCATTCGTGGAACAGCTTTAGAGTGGTTCCGCTCCTTTTTCAATGGCAGATGTTTTAATGTTGCCCTGGGGAACTGCGCCTCTAGAGTGGCACCTCTTTTTTTGTGGGGTTCCCCAGGGGTCCGTTTTAGGTCCGCTTCTTTTTAATCTATATATTTTACCTTTGGCAGCCATTTTTAGAAAATTCCGGGTAAATTTTCATCTCTACGCTGACGATTGTCAGCTTTATATGGCCCTAAAATCTGCTGACCCTGTGCAACCACTGACTGACTGCCTGAGTGAAGTCAGTTCCTGGCTCTCGGCTAATTTTCTCCATCTTAACAGCTCCAAACTGGAGGCTATTCTCTTTTCCCCCTGCTCCCCCTCTGCTGTGGAGCCATCTCTGCCCCGTTCATTGTCAGTTTTGGTGAAGACGACAATTACAAATTTGGGGGTCACTCTGGACACTTTTTAAAAAATGGATGCACAGATAAATCAGGTAGTCAGGTCGTGTTTCTATCATCTTTGCCGGCTGGCCAAATTAAAATCTGTCCTGAACAAAAAAGATCTTCAGTCAGTTTTTCATGCTTTTGTAACGTCAGGTCTGGACTATGCCAACTCTCTCTTATATGGTGTTCCCTCCTCTTCAGTGGTACGCCTCCAGTTGGTTCAGAATGCTGCCACAAGGTTTCTTACGAGCATAGACCGACGGCAGCATATCACCCCTGTGTTGACACATTTACACTGGCTTCCAGTTCGGTTTCGGATTAAGTTCAAAATTCTCCTGTTGGTTTACAAATCTATCCATGAAATGGCCCCCTCCTATTTGGCACATCTTTTGAGTCCCAGTGTTCCGGCGCGAACCCTGAGGTTCTCTGACCCGCACCTTCTGCTTGTCCCTCCTGCCCGCTATATGGCCCGTGGCGAACGGGCTTTTTCAGTTTGTGAGCCTAAACTTTGGAACCAACTCCCCCTGACGGTCCGACTTGCCCCCTCCCTTCACACTTTTAAAGTACGTTTGAAGACATATTTCTATTCCCTGGCCTTCCCGACTGAGACTGTTTAACCCTTGTGCTTTCCTGTTTTTTTAATAGTTTTTATTTGTTTTATTTGTTTTGGTGACGTATTGTCTTGTACAGCACTTTGGTTGGCTTTGTCGCCGTTTAAATGTGCTTTATAAATAAAGGTTGATGATGATGATGAAATCAAAATAATGTAGTAATTCATTTATCTCTGAAGAACAGATGTTCTTATGAATTAAATCTGGTAGCAACAGTTTCTTAATCTTAATAAATAATAAAAATGTCAGCAATGAAATTAACAGCACCACAGAAAGTGACTTTCAGTTTAAAAGCTGCTACACAGAGCAGAAATTTAGTAGAACTGCACCAAAGTCTCAGCTGGTTGACTCATTCTGTTTTTGCCTGATTTTGCTGCCAGGTGACCCCCCCCAGGCTGCAGCGTGGCTGGGCCAGTGTGGCGTTTACTTGCTCGTCATGGTGCTGGAGAAAGGTGTGATCAGCCTGGTGCTGCTCATCCCTGGCTGGTCTAAAGTAAGAACAGTTTGTTACGTGTAGATTTGGTTTTGTTTTCCATCGACGGCCCAAGGAAATCCTGAAAGTTTTAACATTCCGTCTCAGGAAAAATTTCCATTTTTCTGAAAAGTTTTGGACATAAAGTATTGAACGAGTTGGATCGTAATCAGGGAGGGAGAAGTGGAGAGATCGTGGGCGTTTCTCATTGTCAAGGCGCCTGGCCTTGCGAGGCGATGTCTTGCGAGGCCAGGCGCCTTGCGTACGAGGACACGGTCCTTCCTTGATCAAAGAAAACGGTTAAATGGAACAGACTTGCATCACATGACCGCTGCTTCCACGGCGGTCACGTAACGTCACGCGACACGGGAGACAACGTTATATTTTATACGTATTAGTTTTAATATAAATATATAATGAGCCTTTAACTTTATAAATTGTGTATATGTTTATTAAATTAAATATATAAGTGAGTTAGTACCCACTAGCCACTGAAGCTGCAACTAACCAACCATAGATAACTTCTTTGGATCTAAAAAAAAACATTTTAAATTAGTTGACTTACTTTTAAACTTGAAATTTGTCCCCGAAGTAGCTGCCGGCGTCTGATCCGGACCAGTGTTGCCAACTTAGCGACTTTGTCGCCATTTCTAACGACTTTTCAGACGCCTTAACAACTTTTTTTTTTTTTTTCCAAAAAAGCGCCTAGCAACAAATCTGGCGACATTTCTGACCCCCCTCAGCTATTTTGACTACAACTTTGTAGCCAACAGATTAGCGAGACATCTGAAGCGACAGGACCGTCCTTCCTTCCAGAGGATCCGAAAGAAAATGATCTGCGCATGTGCGTGCAGCATGATCACGCTACCCCCATTGACCAATCAAACCTTTTGTGGGTTTTCACAAGTCCATTATTTGTGACAGCCACCGGAGCTACATAAAGGGCGACCGCCCCATCTGCCATCCTGCCGCATTTCAGCAGCTGCGCTAGGCTGGCACCAGCGTCGCACTCACACATGGCTTCTCGCACCACTTGTGGTGCATTCAAGGAACATTGGAACTCTATGATGAGTTCAATAACGTAGCACATTTAAAACTTTTATAAAAAACAGAATAATACTGTAAGTCATTGGCAGGTCATTGGCAGTTTGCATGTAACGTTTCTGAATACTAAATACGGCCTGCTGCTTTTTACACAAAAGTACTAAAAACAACAAAACCAAACAAAAACAATATATATATATATATATATATATATATATATATATATATATTATCTGTTAGGTCAATATATAGCACTGAATCACAACAGAAGAATACATCTCAAGGCACTTGAAAACTACAAGAGAAAATTCATTTTAATTCAGTCATACATACATTCCTATCAGTTTAATATTTTTGTGTTTAAGAGTTCCATTCTCTTCAGACAAAATATAAATATTCCTTCCATTTTTTGTGCCATCTTTCCTTGATGTTTTAAAGGCTGCTGTTTTGTAATCTATGTTTTTTTTTATTTTAATAAAATATAAAAAAATAAATTAAATAATTTTTTTAAATAAAATCACGCGGGTTTTAATTGATTTACTCTACAAGACCGGTGACGTCATGACGCAAACGTGGTGACATCATCACGCAAACCAGATGACGTCATTGTGTTGTAAGCAAATTAGCCCGTGATGTCATCTGGCGACTTTTGGGGGGAACTTCAGCTACTTTCAGTCAAAAACAGTTGGCAACATTCGATCCGCCGTTCTTTAGAAAATACCGCGGGGTATTCTGGGTAATTTTTGACCAAAGCTACGCTACAAGACACCTCCCGTGTATCCTTGCTCAGCTAGCTAAACGGCTAACAAACGGAGAACATGCCTCGGTAGAATCTGAACATTGGAACACGTCTTGGCGGCTCCCGATGACGTATCTCCTTGGCAACCGGGGCGGGGCCAAGACATCAATCATCATCCTTGGCATTGAGAAACATCCCGTATTTCAGGTCGGGTGTGTCCAAAGTGCAGGCTGGTGACCATTCATGGCCCTCAGAGGGATTTTGTGCTGCCCACTCTTACATTTCTCAAACGATGAGCTTTATTTTTTTAGCACGTTGATGTAAGTTGACACATTCTAACATTCTTATATTCAGGTTTTCTAATACATCCATTTTGGACATATTTTGAAGAATACAAATAGAAAAAACCACAAGAAAATAACTTAAACTTGTTAAATCAAAATAACAACAAAAAAAATAAACATTTTCGCTCACTGCTAGGACTACTGACGATTTTGGCCCTTGTCTTGAAAAGTTTGGACACTCCTGACCGAAAGAATTATAAAACAAAGCGCGTATATTTTCCTTTTTTTGTGTTTATGTCGTTTTTCTCTGGATTTGAAGGGGACTCACACACCAGTGCTGTGATTGGTGTTAGATCAACAATAAAACATCTTTATAAGTCATTAGATCTGTTGTTATGTTTGTGTTCTGGTTCAGCTGCAGGAGGTGTTGCTAAGCTACATCGCTAACCCTCAGCTGGAGCTGGCGCTGGTCATGCTCATCGTGCCCTTCATAGTCAACGTAAGTTTCACTTCACCGGTGAGGAGGAAAGTGCGAGCTCTCCTAGTAAATTACCTTTCTGTTTAGTCCATTATGTTCTGGGTGGTGGACAGCCTGACTATGAGGAAACACAAGACGATGAAGAGCCTGGACGACTCCTGTGACAGCTCTGGGGGGAAGGATGACTCCCTGCTGGGGGGGAGCAGTGAGGAGTCACGGGTGAGAGTCAAATACATGTTTTTGCAGCACCAACTGGTTCCAGTTGAAGACATTTTCAGAACTGCAGCACTTATTCGTTTGAGTTTGTGTAATATTCAGGATGGAGGGGCTATGGAGATGGAGATCTATGGGGGCCAAAATTAAGACTACTGCCCAGCAGCAGGAGGCTATATAAATTCTGAAGCAAACTACCGACCTGATTAATGATAAGCTGGCGCCGGTAACTGAGAGGCTGGCGCTGCTTACTGAGGAATAGCATCTTTACCGGCGTTACTACTAGATACGCTAGGGACTAGCAGCCCTCGGCTGGTCATTGGCTGGTTCACACACTCCCTCTGCTGTCTATTAGCATGGATAGGCTAGCGTTAGCCTGGACGGGCTGGTGTTAACATTGGAAAAGCTAGCCATTAGCGTGCCTAGGCATACCACTAGCTGGATTTCCTACCCCCTTGACAGACCATTAGCATGGATAGGCTGGCGTTAGCTTCGGAGAGGCTAGCCATTAGCATGTCTCGGAGAGTCACTTACTCTATTAGATGTGGGTTTTTTTTTGTACATATTATATAGTTTTAATAAAGATGACATCACAATTTAAATAACTATTAACCTGTAATTGAATACAAAGGAATTTAAGTCCAAAGATGAAAAGTACTAACTAGTTAACTCTGGCTTTTTCTCTGATATGTGCAAGAAAACCAAACTACATAAAAAGAAAACGCCATCAACCTGTAATTAAGAGCAAAATGGAGTTAACGCAGCACCTAATCAATGCTAACAGGCTGTCAGCTTTACAATATGCTTAAAGTTAATGTGTAAAACAACGCGTTCTGTCAAAGGAACAACTGTGATTGCAGGTCTCATAGTATGTCATCCGTTTAATAAAAGTAAAAAAAAAAAAAACGCAGCTAGTAGAGTAAGGGACTCTCCGAGACATGCTAATGGCTAGCCTCTCCGATGCTAATGCCAGCCTATCCATGCTTAAAGTCCGTCAAGGGGGTAGGAAATCCAGCTAGTGGCCAGCCTAGGCATGCTAATGGCTAGCCCCTCCAATGCTAACACCAGCCCGTCCAGGCTAACGCTAGCCTATCCATGCTAATAGACAGCAGAGGGAGTGTGTGAACCAGTCAATGACCAGCCGAGGGCTGCTAGTCCCTAGCGTATCTAGTAGTAACACCGGTAAAGGTGCTACTTCTCAGTAAGCAGCGCCAGCCTCTTCGTTACCGGCGCCAGCTTATCATTAATCAGGTCGGTAGTTTGCTTCAGAATTTATATAGCCTCCTGCTACTGGGCAGTAGTCTTAATTTTGGCCCCCATGCCGCGCCGTAGCGCTGAAGCACAGCAGAGAGGGAGGGCACCAGCCAATTTAACCTAAATGAATGTTTAAGTTGACCTTTGTTCCTAGCATGACCTTCCTGTGCTGTATAGTCAGGCGTGTTGGTCCTGGAAATGACTTGAGGATTAGTTTTTGTGAAGATTTAAATGAAAAAAGCTTTTTGCCACCGGTTATGCCGCCCTTCAAAGCTGCTGGGAACGGTCCGAAGGTCTTTGTTCCAACACTTTGTTTCTTTACCAAGTGACGCTGGTGTCTCATTTAAGTTGAAGAGGTGATGCATCAAAGTAATACCGAACACCGTGATTACCTCACTCACAAATGGACCGTGAATAATCTCCATCTTTGTGTGTTTTGGTTCAAATCTGTGTTTTGAAATGTAATCAAAGGCCTCTTTATGCCATGTTCCAGTTCTGCATTCAAGCTGCTTCCACACAGAAGCCCATATCGTTTGCCATCACCCCCTCTTGGGAAAGTTTGAATTCAGACTCGTCTGTGGTTGGCTGTCGGTGTCCGTGACCTTTGTCTGCTGTTAGATTAGTGTTTTTCTCCTCCCTCCTTTCTTTCCTTTCTCCTGGTTGTCTGCCAGACGACCATAAATCAGGCCTTCATCCCCAGAATAAAAGTGACATTTAGGATTTGTTACCACACGCTGATGTTATGGAGAGCGTGGAGGAGGACTGTAGCTAGTTGGGCATTCACTTGGATTCGAGCCTCGAGTGGGAGTGGCGGCCGGAGCTGCTTATGTGGGAAAACAGAACTTTTCTGAGGAAGTTTTAAGGGATTAAATTCAACATTTTACCATAAAAACGTTTCTGTTGATGTTGCTGCAGTTAGTTTCTTTGTTTAGTTGTTTTATTCAAGCTGTGTGACAATGCCTCCATCACTACGATCAACAGAAATGTTTAAACTGTTGCCGGTGGCTCATTAGTGTCACCATGGTAACCGCCGGTGGCTCATTAAAGGTCATCGTGGCAGTAAAAAAAAGTAGTAGTTAAAAAGTCTCACAGGAAGTCGTGAGTCTGACAACTTGCAGTTTAGATTATCTTTCAGAAGAATTTTAGGACTCTATTCCACATTATTATGGCAAAATGACACAAAACAACCGTTGTTGCATCAGTAGTTGGTGAGAGCAAACCAGATTAATAACATGTGACTAATAACCGCCTCGGCCGAGCAGCTTCTAGATTTTTATTTCACTGAGAATCAGAGTTTAATGGTAACAAGGTCAGGATGAGGTGAGACGCAGATTCAAAAAGCCAAAATAATGTTTTTATTATCGGGGTGACGGTGGCGGAAGGTTGCAGGTTCGAGTCCCGGTCAGTCTGTCGCTGTCGTTGTGTCCTTGGGCAAGACACTCCACCCAGCTTGCCTGCTGTTGCTGGTCAGCGGGACCTGTGGCGCCTGCGTACAGCAGCCTCAGTGCACCCCAGGGCAGCGGTGGCAACGTTGTAGCTCCAGCGTGTGCGTGTGTGTGTGTGTGTGTGTGTGTGTGTGTGTGTGCGTGTGCGTGTGCGTGTGCGTGTGCGTGTGCGAGTGCGTGTGCGTGTGCGAGTGCGAGTGCGAGTGCGTGTGCGTGTGCGTGTGTGAGTGTGTGTGTGAGTGATTGGTCGTGTTATAAAGTGTCTTGGGGGGTGCTAGGACTCTAGAAAACGCTATATCTGATAGGTCATTCACCATTTAGTGCAGAAAGTTATTGTGAGCGTGCACAAAGTAGTTTCAGATATTCTGTCCACAAGGGGGCGCCAAAAGCAGTTTTATAATAATCTACTGTGGAAGAAGTTTTTAAAAATCAAAGTCGAGCTTGGTGTGGACCAGACAGAACTAAACATCTGGTGCCTGTGCGGGTGGGAGCCACACAGCTTTTCTGGTAGCATGGCGGGTGTATTAGCATGTAGCGTTTAGCTGTTATGTAGACAGAGAGGAAGAAGAAGTTTTTCTACAACGTCTGGAGTCGAGCTCCAAAGAGGCTGGAGATGAACGGACCCACAGTCCCTCTCCTCCAGGCCAGGAATGCAGAGCTGACAACTGCAGGTGAGGTTTCTCCCAAATACCAGATAACTAAGAGAATCCGTCTCCCCAGGTGTTGTTGGCGGTCGAGTCGGACCCCGAGGAGGAATCGGACCAGGAGGACGAGACGCGCGTCCGCGTTCAGTATTCAGGCGGACCGCTGAGGCCGAGCTGGGTGGTGGTGTAAACCCCGGTGGACCTGGTCTTCCACCCATCCACCTGCTCTCTGCACGTCTTTCACCTCCGACGAAAACTGGCGGAGGCCGAATGCACCGAGAGTTCCACAAACACGTTTATCTTCTTGCCTCCTTCCTCCGTTTTGATGCGAGGAAAGATCAGAACGTGAAGTTTGTGTGGAAAGGAAATCTAAAATGATTTCCTCTGGGATGTTTTTGGGTGCTGAGGCATTTTTATCTTGGGTCAGATTCCCAGTAGAGTCAAATATAACACAAGTATTAAAAAGTGCTCTTTAACGGTTGATCTGTGGACATATAACCACTCAGACGGCGCCTTTAAAAGGCCCAAACGTAATCATTCCTGCATGTCTCTAGTTAAAGCAGCCAACAAGCACAGAAAGTCGAACCTTTAGCTGCTCTGATGAACCAAATGCGTCGCTGAGTAGATAAAAGTGGCTGATTTTTTTAATGGTGGAGGACTTTTTAACTTCAGTGGGAGAAGAAGTTACACTTGTAGAGTTTTATAATGATCAGAAGTTCAAATGTCAGAAACCAGCATGAAAGCTGCAAGGAAACAGCCGAAATGACAAAAGAAAGGTTTCCTTTTGCACTGGTTGATCAAACGTAATCAATAAATAGTGCCACTAATCAATAAAGTATCACGTGCACGTTAAAGTACAACGCAAAGCCGTTAGGAACTGAGGGCAGGTGAAGATGCTGCTGCAGGAAAGTTGTCCAAGAATGTTCCTGAGAGAAAAACAAAATCACCTCCTAGTGAGGAGACGAAGAGGCAATCGACCGGAACAATAACGCAAAATTAGATTTTTCTTTGTAAGTATTTCCTCTGAAGCTGCTCTGGTGAGGTTTTTAGCACATTTATCCGTGTTAGTTGTGTAATAAAACACCAGACGGCTAAGTCAGAGGTGTTTTGATGTTTAGCTGCACAAGTTGCCCGTTACAATCACAGAAATGTCCAAACAGCTGCTCCAGGATCAGCGTGGGTTTGGTTTACTGCTGGAACGTCAGACGGAGCCAAATCAATCAACACGAAAACCGAGAAACAGTCCATTTCTCGTTTTGTCTTGTTATTTAAAGCTGAAGTTTTGTGATAAAATCAGAAAATTTTCTATTCAAATACTTTGAGCTAGTTTTAAAAATCACTATTTTGGTTTTATACCAAATCGGTCGCAGCCGTTCTCAGTGAAGCCGTCCCACAGCTACGTATGAAACTCCTCCGTTTTGCTGCACACAGTATTTATTCTGTTGATGTTTGGTTGTTTGCTGCTCGTGGGGAAAAGGTAAAGGAGCTTCTGGGATGCTAAAGGGTTCCAAATCTAAACTATTCTCATTTTTCCAATTCAAAACTTCCCCATACTTGATTTAGACGTGTAACACCGTTTGTAATCCATGTGCGGGTGTGTGTTCTACCGAGCAGATGAAGCGTCCTGAAGCTGCCAACCCACAAACCTTCTCACTGAATGTATTTACTCTGCTTGAATAAAGATGACTGACACCTGAACGGCTGCGTAGCGTTGAATTCCTGCGGCGTCCGAGGCAAGGCGGCCTGACGACAGACAACCTGAGCGAGACCCGGCTGCAGCACAGCTGTGGGGGCGTGGCCTGCAGCCCTGTGACCTCCACCTGATGACAGGAGAGCCGCGCTGCCAGTGTGGCTCTGGGTCAGGTGTGTGTCTAATCATCGGCCCGGAGACGGGGGGGTTAGTTGGTGGTTGCCGTGGTAACCAGGTGTGATCAGCACCCCGGGATTAGAGCATGTATGTGTCAGGTGTGTGGAAGTCTAAACTGTAGCAAACTTGGATGCAGAAAAATGGGTTTAAATGTTTTATTTAACATATTAATTAGAAATGGTACAAAAATATATTTGAAAACAATCCGTAGGTAGAAGGTAACTTAATACCTGGACTCGGCTGAGTCTCTTTAAAGGCATAAATGGCTTTAAGCTGGAGGGTTGGGTTCATGAGTGTCTCACACTGTTTGTCCCTTGTGGTCCGTCTCCCGTGTCAAACATGTGGGACGTGACATAGTCCTCGTACTCCCCGTCGATCAGCTTGGCGGCGTTGTTCCGGGCGAACCAGCAGTCCACGTTCTGCGTTCCACTGTAGATCCTCCTGCTCTTACGGACCACCGGCACCGAACGGTTCTTCACCTTCAGGACCTGAGAGGGCTTCGTGCCAGCCTCAGCAGGAAGCTCCGCCAGCCCCACCTCCTCAGACAGGAACTGACCTGAACGCAGATTCAAACCAAGCACAGTTATTCTGGACTCCAGATATTAAAAAGGCAATCTGGTCATTTCCTGCTGTTGTGTTTAAAAATATTACAGCCATCTTCATTTTCTCATGTATTTAAGGACTCTGATCAAATTCACAGATGGTCAGTGAGTTTTACCATTAGGCATAGGTCGGCGGCCGCCTGGGGCCCCCTTATGTTGGGGGGGCCCCTAGACCTGACTGCTGGCACCCCTCTGTTAATGCCACAATGGACTATTCCTTTAACTCTCCCACTGTCTTTATGGGTGACCCCGTGAGGAAAGTTGACCATTGAGCAGGGTTGATGGTTTATCCCTTGAGGGCCACGTGGCCGGGGTGAGGTGGTGCTCACTCCTCACCCCTGCCACATGGACCCAAGGGATAAACCATCAACACTGCTCAATGGTCAACTTTCCTCACAGCGTCACCCATTAGGACAGTGAGAGGGTTAAGACGCCGATGCACAAACAGGAAGTGATTGGTAGTCATTCCACTCCAATCCAGTTGGTGGCGGTAATGCACCAAATTGTTGTTTGCCAAGTGCCATAAGACCACAAATAATAATAATAAGAGAGGCGGGAGCGTTCGTAACAAACTCGAAGCGGTAGTCAAAACATTTAGCATGAAATGGAGTTGTCCTGGTGGCTCCAATAAGAGAAAGAAGCAGCTTGCTTCATAAAAGCTTTTATCTTCACTTCAGAAAGTGACGTCGTTTTTCCATGTAAACATCAAAAGGAAGCAGAAAGACGATGGAAAATGTTTAAAGGGAGGAAAACATAGACCAAAATGGAAAATAGAAAAAAAAAGAAAGGCAAAAGCACAAGAGCACTGCCAGGAAGAAGAAAGCACTCAAAGGGAGAGAAAGACAGGAAAAAAGAGGAGGACTAATAAAAAGGGAAAATAACTCGTGTCAGAAGACGGGAGAGTTTTGCAAATCCAGTTAACCCTTAAAAACTCCTCCACTTGAGGTAGGACCTCTCCCCCGACCCGGAGTTGGCAAACCACCCTTTTCCGGTCCACCCTTTGCCAACTCCGGGTCGAGAGAGAGGTCCTGCCTCAAGTGGAGGAGTTTAAGTATCTCGGGGTCTTGTTCACGAGTGAGGGTAGGAGGGATCGGGAGATCGACAGGCGGATTGGTTCGGCGTCTGCAGTGATGCGGACGCTGAGCCGATCTGTCGTGGTGAAGAGGGAGCTGAGCCAGATAGCCAGGCTCTCGATTTACCGGTCGATCTACGTCCCAATCCTCACCTATGGTCATGAGCTTTGGGTAATGACCGAAAGAACGAGATCGCGGATACAAGCGGCCGAAATGAGTTTCCTCCGTAGGGTGGCCGGGCTCAGCCTTAGAGATAGGGTGAGGAGCTCGGACATTCGGGAGGGACTCGGAGTAGAACCGCTGCTCCTCCGGATCGAAAGGAGTCAGTTGAGGTGGTTTGGGCATCTGGTCAGGATGCCTCCTGGACGTCTCCCTGGGGAGGTGTTTTGGGCATGTCCTGCCAGCAGGAGGCCCCCGGGTCGACCCAGGACACGTTGGAGAGGTTACATCTCCAATCTGGTTCGGGAACGCCTTGGGGTCCTGCCGGAGGAGCTGGTGGAGGTGGCCGGGGAGAGGACGGTCTGGAGCTCCCTAGTTGGGATGCTGCCCCCGCGACCCGAACCCGGATAAGCGGAGGAAGACGACGACGACAGTTAATCCTCTCAGGCTCAAAATAAGTTTTGGTAAAAGGACGAACAACTAGGTCCTTTACTTCTGAGTTAAAAAATGCTCATGAAATACGTATGTGGAGTAACCAGGTAGGTTTTAACTTTGCAAATCTGCAGTGCCTGCCTCCAGGGGGTTAAAGGTAAAATTGTTGAAAATTTAGTGTAAGGGGCCCCATGTCTGTGTTCGCCTTGGGCCCCCAAATTGCTAAATCCGCCACTGCAGATGGTGATTCTTACTCTGGTCTTTTAAGTTTTAGTAGTTTGACCAGAACCAGCTTCTTGTCACTTGCAGTAGATCTAATTACCAGAGTTAGACTTTTTACCGAGTTAAAGTCCCATAGTGCCTCATAATGATGTAAAACCACTAGTTTAAGGCTGGAAACTCTTAAGGAGATGGGATCTTCTTTGATTTCTTACAGATTGAAATCTCGCTGGCTGTTTCTTTCTAAATAATTTTGGTTGAGAAGAGTTTAGATGTTCAAAATTGATTCAGTTCACTCCCAGCAAATTTCCCCTACTCAAGATTTTATTTACCTTTTTATTTGATTTTGTGAAAATGTTAGTACTTTGAAAATGTTTTTATTATTGCATTTTTACATTTGCTCTCATATTCACTTTTTTATTCTCATTGCTGTACTTATTTGAATTAATACATTATTATTTTTTCATTCTTTTCAGTCAATTCACCAATATTTCCATTATTTATTAATTATTCTATGAATTAATTCACAAATACTTTTAACTATGCACATTTGAATATTTTTGTGCATTTTAAGGAACAATTTTTACTATTTTAAATCTTTTAAAATTAATAGACTTTTAACGTTAGTTTTGATCTAATTATTTACTACAGTTTTATTTCTCGTTTTACATGATTATATTTTATTACTGGCTTTGCATGTTTTATATGACAATACTTTAGCATTGTTTCATTATTGAATACTATTATTTTACTGTCTATATGATTTTCTTTATTTATTTTCGTACTTTGTCATTTATATTATCTCTTTTATTTTCATATTTTTACTCATTTTAATCCAGTGTTTCCTCTGTAGGGGCCCTCTGCCCCGGGGGCGGTGGTCGACTGTTGCTTCCTGGGCGCTCCACAGGTAGTGTTTAAGTGGAGGTGGGGGTCTATGCTCCTCCTCCTCCTCTGAGCGCCCTGACTTAGTGTGGAAGACCTGATGCTGCCGGGGCAGACGGCTCCTCTGATGGCGTTTCCGTGACTTACCTTACTTGGCCCATCTGGACTCAGCCGAATATAAATTTTTACGGGTGTGTGTGTGTGTGTGTGTGTGTGTGTGTGTGCATATGTCTGTTAAAGTTTTTAAACTGTTATGGGAATTTGGGGTCATTTTAATTCTGTAAAGCACTTTGCTTGAAAGGTGCTTTAAATAAAATCTGATTGATTGATTGAACATCTTGAAATATTAAAAATTCTCAAAGCATTGTGTAAAATTTTTGTATGTCCTTTGTAAAAATTATCAGCTGAGATTAGTCAGATATTTTTCTGCAGGTTTTCTTTGTGTAACTCTTGGATGTGCGTGGGTGAGATGTTAGCTAATTGAGCTAGCCTTTAATAATTTGTGAAACATTCTTGATAAACGAACAGCCCAGATGTATTTCTGGGGGAAGTGTTTCAGTGATGGCTCGTGGCTCTAGTGGCGGACAGCGGTACTACCTAACAGGCCGTGGCAGTTGCGTGAAAGGCCCTTGCTGTTGCCGATGTAGAACCCCAGATGGTTTCGCTGGTAGGGCGCCGGGTTTTTGTACTGATGCAGCAGGATGATGAAGCTGATGTTGCCTCCCACCGTCACAGTCACATTAGAATTCTGTACGATGGCCACAGACAGCATGCCGCTGTCCACCGTCACGCTGGAGTGGCAGGGAAGGACAATGCGGTCCCGTCCGTCCAGGATGACTTTTGTAGGGGTCACCTCTATGTAGGAGCGTTTTGGATGATCTGCCACGATGGTGATGGTGCTGAAGTACGTACGCTGCTGTTTGTGGCTTCCTGGGGGAGCTGAGGCGCCTATTAGCTTCCCGTTGACAGTCACACCTAAAAACACAGAAATGTTAGATGATAAAACATCCAAAAACTAATAAGCAAATGTCTAGATTTCCCAATATGACACACATGAACACACACACTTCAAGGCAAATCCTGACACTTTCCTGTCAGTTTGCTGACGAACCGTTTTATCTGCCTTTAGGTTTTTATCAGCTTCATGAGGCTTACCAGAGTATCTGTGGTCCGACACCAGGCGAAGAACATGTCCAGGTTCCCCGTTGATGTTAAAACACACCGTTAGCTTACTGAGGGGAAACTCCACCACAAAATGAGGGTCACCGTCCGCTGCAAGAGAGCCCCAGAAACGTGATCCGATCAACAGGGAAGCTGTTTAACTCCTTCATGTCTGTTTAAAACTAGGCACCAGATAAGGGAAAAGGCCAGGAACCACCCTGGGGTTTAACCACTTGTTGGTTTTGTTGTAGTAACGTTTACATCGTCTAGCACAAAAAAGTTCACGTTCGTTTCAAACTGTTATTTTTGTGTGATGCGTTCAGACAGAAAACCCTTCAAACCTATAAATGTCCATTTATTGATACTTTCAGGTTTCAGGTCACACTTCCTGAACTCAAAGTTTCTGTACTAGCGGAGTGTTTCCTGACCATAGACTGTGCGAACTTTCAGCTCGTAGGCGGGTTTAAGGGATGGACAGATGGACCTGCGTTCCCCTGTTGTTGTAACTCATCTCATTGTTTCTTGTTCTTATGCCTCTCGAGGTTTAGCGCCAATATTCATCCTCCTTTTTGTGTTTCAAACATCTTAAAATTCTAGAGTTATCAGAAAATAAAGTATCATCAGCAAATTGTTGAGCACCACCCTGTCGGCCGGCTTAATTTCTGTTTTAGGAGACGTTTTAAATCTTTAGTTAGAGTTCCCTCGGGCTCACGAGAACCAGCTAATATCACAGAGCAGCAATGAGATTATAGAGCAACCCTAATGACGGGGTAATAACCCTCAGTTACCGCTTCTGATGGGTTCCCTGTCTTTACAGTACCACGTTCCGGGCAGTGTCCTGTACCTATCTGTGCTCACCGATGTGTTCAGAGTGCCGCTCAGACCCTCTGCTGGTATTCCAATTAGACTTTGTTGGGAGGAATCCCCAAGTCTCTCACTGTGATCACTGAAGACTGTCTGACAAAGATCTAAATTACAGGCCGCCCACACAGAGAGCCTAGAGTCGACTGTACATCCCTTCATCTCCTCCCTTTTTAATTTTACCTCTAAGATCTCCTTACGAATTAACACGATCACCAGATGAAACCAGAGAAACCCATCAAGGGGAGACCGGGAGTTACCTGATGTTTTGGAGATAGTGAAGGATTTCTTGGCTGGTTTCCTCTCAACTTTACCTGCAAAAAAGATAGTAATTACGTTTAAAAATGAGGATTAATATGACAGCTGAATCTGAAAATTCCTTTTAATGGGATATTTTAAGTGTTCATAGTGGCGTTTAAAACATAAACGTCTCAAGCCGTCTCCTGGTTATCCCTAAAATAAGGACTCACGGCGAGGCGTCTTTCCCGTTTTATGGCCCTCGCCTGCGAAACAGGCTGCCGGAGGACCTCAGGGCAGCAGAGAACGACCATGTTTTAAGAGCAGGCCACCTTTTTAGCTTTAAACTGTTTATTATTTATTATAGTAGATTACTTGCTTTGCATATTTTAATTGATTACAGTTTATCCCTCTTTTATTCTACAAATATATTATTTTAATATTTATTAAATGTGAATTAATTATTTATTTACTTACTTTTACATCTATATTTTTTATCTCTAATTTCCCTCTGGGATTAATAAAGTATCTTTGATTTGATTTGATAGTGACTCCTGTTATTGTTATATTTCATCTTATATTCATCTTTATTCCAGTGTTTCCTCCGTGGGGGCCCTCTGCCTCGGGGGCGGTGGTTGACTGTTGCAGCCTGGGCTCTCTCCATGTAGTGCTTGGGTGGAGGTGGGGCTTATACCCTCCCTCCCTCCCCTTTGTGCCCTGTGTTGATACCACAGCTGCTGCGGTTGGCCTGCTGCTGCCGAGGCAGATGACTTCTCTGATGGCGTTTTCTTGCCCTACCATATCTGGCTCATCTGAACTCAGCCCAATATCAGTTCTACTGATGTTCTTAAGCAGGTGCGTAGTATGGTGAATGGGCGTAGTTTTGACCTTGGGCGGGGGCACAACCGGCATGAGGACCAGGTGTGGAGGATCTTTGCAGGAAGTAGCCTATAGAGGCTCTTTTATGCAATGTCAGGAATGCAGAGCTGTCAAGTACAGAGGTGACAGTAAAAAGCAAGTAATTGTCAGCAGAGCCAATAAATGAGCTTATGGACGGTTCTAATGGGAAACAGGCTTCAACACAAGCAGTTGTTTTCTGCTTGGTCCTAGTGCTCAACCAGTGTATTTAGTATAGTGCAATTTTTTTTGGATGGTAAAAAGTGCAGGGGACAAAATTTTACTCAGGAAAACGTGTGTGTGTGTGTGTGTGTGTGTGGGGAGGGGGGGTCCATGGTATGGTGTGACTGTGCCAATGCTTGTGTATTGTTGTAAACACTTTGAGTTGCATCCTTTGTAGGAAAAGCGCTTTACACATAAAGTTTGATTGATTCATAATAAAGCTTTGTTTGCTTTTGTTTCTAAATACAGGTGAACTGCAAACAAATATTTCTAAAAAATAAAGAAAACTTTAAAATAAAGGTTTGATACATTTTGGCCCTTTGTTAGCAGGGTGGCTGGGCTCTATTAGAGATAGGGTGAGAAGCTCGGCCATCCGCGAGGGGCTCAGAGCAGATTCGTTGCTCCTCCACGTTGAGAAGAGCCAGTTGAGGTGGCTGGAGCTCTGCATAACAGAGGACCTCACATGGACACATCAAACGTCTGATAAAGAAGGCACAACAATGGCTATGGCTGCCACGAAAGTCACTGGTGTGGTTTTATCGCTGCTCCACAGAGTATCCTGACCAACCGCATCCTGGTGTGGTTCGGCAGCAGCTCTGCAGCTGACAGGCAGGACCTGCAGAGAAAATAACAAACACACGCCTGCCTGCCCTGGATGACATCGTCACCACTCGCTGCCTTTGAAAATCCACAAACATCCTAAAGGACCCAAGCCGCCCTGCCAACAGGGGCGCCTCCAGAAAATTTTGATAGGGGTGGCCAAACGGGGTCAAAGAAATTTTTGGGGTGGTACACCAAATTGGTCCTTGTGGTAACTCTGGGAGAATTTAGCCTGTGGCGATGTACTGCATTGCACCTTTATTCGTTTTTATTAAAAGACCAGTAGGTATCCAAAACATTTAACTTACATTTTACAAACACAAACATTTTAGAAAAATACATTTCAGTTATTTAAAATGTTATCCATAATTTAATAAGAATTTTTTAAAAGTTAGTTCACCTGTTGCTCTGTTTAAAAAAAACTATGGAGATAAAGACTTTTTAAAATGGTGAGCTGCAGAAACATATGTATTTTTAAAAATTCTGATTATTTCTTTAGTCATTAATTGTAATAACTTTTATTTAGCTTTACAATTATGTCTTGAACAAACAAAGTGAATATATGGTTTGACTGAACGTTAATATGATTTGTTAACACTGGCTTTTCCTGGGGGCTAGCAATTTTTTAGGGGTTGCCATGGCCACCCCTTGGGGCACCCTTGCCTGCCAACCATCTCTTCAGACTTTTTTGTAAATGACACGAGGCGATGAAAACATGCGCCGCCAGGCTGTTAAACTGCTTTTATGCAAGAGCCATCACTGAACTGAATGCTGCTGCTCGGAGGTCACACTAACAGGGGTTCTGTTAGTGAGAAGAGAGAGGAGACCTAAAGGTAGACCCAGGACACGTTGGAGAAACTCTGTCTCTCAGCTGGCCAGGGAATGCCTTGGGATTCCCCCGGAGGAGCTGGCTCAAGTGGCTGGGGAGAGGGAAGTCTGGGCCTCCCTGCTTAGGCTGCTGCCCCCGCGACCCGACCCCGGATAAGTGGAGGAGAATGGATGGATGGATGGACATAAGTATTATCCTCATGGAAAGCCTGACCTCATAAGAATTAACTTGTAAGAATTGCACGTTTGTGGAGCGAACATCATAGTTAAATGTGTAGGATCCACCAAAAATGTGCTGAACAGGGGCGGCGTTAGGCCCGGCTACTTGGGCTGAAGCCCCGGATGTTTCATGGAAAGCCCCGGATATAAAACGTGGAAGTAACATGCAGTACCAAAGTCCAACAGAGAGGGAGCAGCTGGCAGTAGTTTGTATACAGCCTGCCTGAGCCTCCACCACTGAAGAAGAAGCCCTTCAGCAGCCAGCTTCTTCTACACTCTCTGCCTGAAACGCATGAGTGAAGATGGACATAAGGATGTTTTTTAGACCAAAAGTACAACGACAGAACCCCAGCTTTGATGAGACTGGTGCTGACTCAGGTTTGTGAGTCTTATTTGAAACTATTTGTTGTGCTGCTGGTTTGCCTAAAGTTAGCTTACTATCAGGTAAAGTTGTTGGAGAAAGAACGGGAATATTTACTATCATCTCACACTAAACACTAACAGGAACAATACTCTGCCCTGAAAATGCTTAATATGTAGCTTCAGATTAAAAATTATGTGGTACAAGACATATATGATGTTGACTAGTGTGTGTCACGTGTGTGCATGTGCGCGCGCGAGTGTGTGTGCGTGCGTGTGTTAAGCCCCGGATGTTCTTCAGTCCTTAATCCGCCCCTGGTGCTAAAACACCTGAAATCTTTTCTTGTTCACTTCCTTCAGGTGTGCTCCATTCACAGGTGTTTGGCCAAAATGTGTTGTTTTTGTCCTGCTTACTGCAGAAAGGTTCAATCATCGAATCCACCGCACCACAACGGAGTGGATACCAACAGGAGAATATTGGAGAGGCTTTTGGTGCTACTCACACTTGTAGTTATGTAGCTCATTCCACAGATGCACATTTCTGCAAGACTGACGGTCAGATCAGATACATGGGTTGCTAATTTCCCACAACCTCACCTATTTTGTTGCTTTGAGATGAACTCTGGCGTCTCACGTTCCCTTCTAGCTCCTGTGGCTTTTCTGTGTTCCCTGGCAGCTCATTGAGAGGTGGCGCAGCTTCATCAGCTGCTGGTGTGACGGTGGGAGCTGGTGCCACGCGGCCGTCAAGCAGAACCTCTGGCTTTTCCACCACCATGTTGGTGAGCGGAGTGAGAAAGTGGTAATGCAGAGACAGGTTGGTGGCCAGCTGGGTGTGCTGTTCCCTCTCCTTGCTGGTCTGGCTGCGCAGACGCGATCGCAACCCCTCCTTAACACTCAGGAAACCCCAGACTCGCTCAACAAAGTCTTCTGCAATGGAACTCAGAGGATTTCCCAATGCCTGCATGACCCCTGACCCCAGGGCCTTGGCTCCAACTGCCATTGCGGCGGAAGCTGCTTTCACATGCTTCTCAGTCTCTATCTGCAGACGCCGCAGAGGCACATCGGTTTCAAGGATGATGTTTCTGTCGTTGTTGCTGGCCGTAACTTGGACATGAAGTGATTCTGCACTGCGGTTCGTGAGCTTGCCCGCAATGACGAGCTCCGAGCCGTTGAAGTAGTTGGTGAAAAGGTTTTGAGTGACATAATCGACAGAGTCCTCTGTGTAGTTGACCCTGATGTCGGACAGAAGAGGTGTTCCGATCTCATCGTAGAACCTGGGGAAGAACACACACATGCCTCAGTCGTAGCTCTAGCTTAGCTACAGCTTTTATTAGCTTTTATCTCATTATTTACTACAGTTTTATTTCTCGTTTATCATGATTATATTTTATTGCTTTGCATGTTTCATATGATTATATTTTAGCGTTGTTTCATTATTTAATATTATTATTTTACTGTCTAGATGATTTAATTTATTACTTATTTTCTTACTTTGATCATTTATATTAGCTCTTTTATTTTCATATTTTTACTCATTTTAATCCAGTGTTTCCTCTGTAGGGGCCCTCTGCCCCGGGGGCGGTGGTCGACTGTAGCTTCCTGGGCGCTCTACAGGTAGTATTTAAGTGGAGGTGGGGGGTCTATGCTCCTCCTCCTCCTCTGAGCGCCCTGACTTAGTGTGGAAGACCCGATGCTGCCGGGGCAGACGGCTCCTCTGATGGCGTTTCCTTGACTTACCTTACTTGGCTCATCTGGACTCAGCCGAATATGAATTTTTACTGGTGTGTGTGTGTGTGTGTGTGTTTGCATATGTCTGTTAAAGTTTTTAAACTGTCCTGGGAATTTGGGGTCGTTCTGTAAAGAACTTTGTTTGAAAAGTGCTTTATAAATCAAATGTGATTGATTGATTGATTGATTGATTGATTGATTGATTGATTGATTGATTGATACAGTCGATTTGCCATTTTCAGGTTTGCATCTGGTTATTTCACAGGAAGATTTCCTTTGGGACCAGTTAAACTCACAGAGGGGGAAGCTTGAAGTACCATTCAAAGAACTAGAGAATTTATTTTCCCAGGCAGATACGTTGGAAATATTTAAGACGTCTTTTTTTATCTTTTAGCCACAAATAAATGGAGAAAGAGCGAAGAAATGTGTGTTTAGTTCATTATTTATTTGTTGTAAAACAGTTCCTGGCAAAACAAAATCTTATTCTACTGGAGAGCCTGTTTATTTCTCTGAATGGAGCCACATTTGTGTAGAAATGCACCCATGAATAATAATCACTATTAGCTGGTTAATCGTTAACTTTTTTTGCCAGAAGGGCACCTCCTCTTCATCGCCTGCTTGATGACACATTTTCATAAGATGGATAAAGTCATGAAAACCAGAATTTGTTATGTCAAAGTCAAAGTCCCATCAGTTGTCACACACACTGGTGTGGTGGTGTGTGTCTCGCTGCACTGAGAATGACGCCGGTGAGGATGAGTCTTGGTTCAAAGGAGACGCAGCCCGGCACGTCGTTGGTGCAGAAGTCAGCACCACCTTCTCTGAGCCTTCTACCAACAAAAAAAATGAACCAAACTGCATTTATATTAACTGTTTACCCGCTGTAAGCTCTATTTTTGCAGCATGTCCACCGGAGTTTCATCTCGCCTTACAAAGGAAGGCTTTGGTCCAATAACTTGTTGGGAGCTGGACGGTACTCGTCTGTGGATTCCTACAACAGTCTTGAGATTTTCTCTTGCATGGTTTTCATGAAACGATGTTGAAGATTGACACGCGATCAAAACGACGTTTTAACACCGAGCTCTACAACAGGAAACTAGGCCCCAAAAAGTTCTGCTATCATCGCTGCCCTGTTTATTCAAGCAAGCCTCCATCCGGCCGAAAATCTGCTCGTCCGAGTCCGTGCGCGTCCGTCGACCCTCCCCTGGGTCTGTTCACACATTCATAAATGAGTGTGTACAAAGCAGGACGTGTATTAGAGAGCACGTCCTGTCTTTGTTGTCACAGAGCTGTAAAACCTCCTCACCTGTTAACCAGCGTGTTTGTTCAAGCTGGACCCAGGCTATTATCATAGTCTACCTGTTAACCCCGAGCACACACTTAGACGCAGGTTTCACAACACACACATTCCTGTGCAACAGAACAAACACCTGTGGAAGACCTAGAGAAGAAGGTGGTGTATGCAGGACAAAAAAAAAAAAACTAGATCAGAGGGTGAAAGAAGGCTGCTGTTGTGGTCTGGCTCTTGTTTAGGTTGATTAGAGGTCTGTTGTCAGCACCGCCACATTCACAGGCTACGTTCCCTCTCGTGGTGGTGAGAGATGGACGGACGTGTTAGAGAGGGAGGAGGAGGAATTAGGGACAGCTAACTGCCAAATGAAAGACAGATTATTCCCACAGGAATGATGACGTGTTGGGCTGATGGCTTTAATAAACCTGGTTTAACCGAAGGAAGCCCATCCTGCAAAAGCTATCTAAAGTGTTTATTATCACGATCATTACAACTGATGTAATCTGACCAATCAGGTTTCTCAAACTGACTCTTGTTCACTGGTGTCAGCCTGAAACCTTTTAGCCAGAAACAACAACCAGAAGCTGACGTCGGTGAAAGATCTCCCAAACGTGAGAATCCATCGGCCTCCTGACGTCATCTGAGACCTAGTGAGACCAAATCTTTGTGAAGCAGTTTTGAATCAGTGTCCAGCTTCTTCAGAACATTTCTAGGTGTAGTCCTCTCAAGCCTCTTTCATAAGACAGACCATCGCTCCATTACAGAGCGATAAATCCGAATTTGTGGGTCTCGTAAATGCGGCAAGGAGCAAAGGGGAAAGGTGATAAAACTGGATTCTGATGCGCTTTGCCTCGTAGTGATATCGCCGCACGAGCCCCTCGCCTCTGACGGCTAAACAGCCCTGCTAATCCCTTTGGAGCGACTGTGGGAGCCCCCCCTGCAAAAGATGTTGGTCTCGTTAGTGACGTTTATGTTTATTTATTTAGAAGACGCTTTTATCCAAAGCGACTTACAATTTATAACCTATAGGGCACGTTGTGATCCGTGTGGGAAAACGGAGTACCCGGAGGAAACCCACGCATGCACGGGGAGAACACGCAACTCCACGCAGAAAGGCCGCGGCTGAGTTTCGAACCTGCAACCTTCGTGCTGCGAGGCAACAGTGCTAACCACTGCGCCACCATGCAGCCCACATACTGCGCGCAGAGTGCCGGTCGAAAGCGATAGAAACACAGATAAACATGTCCTCTCACTAGTATCTTTTAGCCACCTACAACATGGCAAACTGGACGGACGCGGAGACCATGGAGCCTTTGGTCGTACGAGCGGACGAACAGATTAGTCGCCTTTTTACGGGGACGGTGAGAGACGGCCAGCTGTTCGACAGAGTGGTGAAAACACGGGCTGAGCGGGGCGCCAAGCGGGACAAAAAGCAGGTCACATCAAAGCTAAAGGTCCTGAAAAAGAAATTTCATCAGTCTGACGTGTCTTCCGTCTGACGCTGAAAGCGCGACCCTGTGCGTCACATGCGTGTGTGTGTGTGTGTGTGTGTGTGTGTGTGTGTGTGTGTGGGGGGGGCCCTGATGGCAGTTTATTCTAGCTTCAGCTCTGATACTATAAATGTCAAAACTAGGGATGTGTATTGGCGAAATTCTGGCGATACGATACTTATCACGATACAGGGGAGACGATATGATATATCACGATATATTGCGATACATTCAGTCAGACAATATTAGCGATTTTTTTAGACTAAAATTATTGTAGGAAAATTCAATAAATGGTCCAAACTGATACTTAACATGATTAACATGAGGTATCTGAACCATAATAGAGGGATTTACATTTCAGTGGTGGAAACAAACTATATTGCACACTACTGCTGACTAGCGGACGACATTTGATTTGCACCAAAAGAAAAGAAAATACACAAATGTTTACACACGAATTCTTCCAAAAAAATCGATACACAGCTTTTGAACATCGATATCATATCACAGGAAAAAATATTGCGATATATTGCTATATCGATATTTTCTTACATTCCTAGTCAAAACCCTCCCCAGGGAGCCGCGGCGAATCCCGTTTTGCAAACGCTACGGTCCTGTAAAAACAGCTGCAGTTTCAGTGTGAAACTTGCAAAAGCAGTAACTAAAACTGAGTCCTACTCACATTCTTTCATCATCATCTTTCTTTCTTTTGCTGAATGATGCCAAGACAGAGGCCATCATTTTCAGCCCTAAGACTTCTCCAAGCCCCCAACTGACCCTTCCTTTTATTTCAAGTGGGTTGAAAACACGTGTCACAAACTTAGGGGTCGTGATGGATGCTAAACTAAAAATGGACATTCATGTCAACCAGGTAGTTAAGACCCGTTTTTACCACCTGAGGCGTCTCTCTAAAGTTAAGCCCATTTTAAAAAGGCGTCATCTCCATTCAGTTGTCCATGCCTTCATTACCTCCCGTCTCGACTACTCTAACTCAGTGCTATACGGTGTCTCCTCCTCCACTCTCGCCCGCCTTCCGCTATTGCAGACCGCAGCAGCTCGATTCCTGACTGGCACCAGGCAGCGAGAACACATCACACCGGTTTTGGAAAATCTCCATTGGCTCCCCATCCATCTCCGGATAGAGTTTAAGATCCTGGTTGTTGTGTTCAAATCCCTCAATAACTTATCACCTGGCTACTTGTCCCAGCTCATTCACCCTTATGTCCCTACGAGATCCCTCCGATCAGCCGACCAGCACCTCCTCCATGTCCCTAGCTCCCGCTGTAAGTCCCGCGGGGAGCGCGCCTTTTCAGTTTGTGCACCGAAGCTCTGGAACCACTTCCCCTCCTGATCAGACTCTCTTCCTCTCTTTCCCTTTTTAAGTCTCGTTTAAAAACTCACTTTTACTCTTTGGCTTTTAATTCAGCCTAATTTATTCTCTTTTTCCTTTTTCTTTTGTATCAGAATCACTCAATTTTAACCCTTATATGACCCTTTAATTTTCTAATGTTTTTGTCCTTTGAGCACAAAAAAATAAACTAAGGTCGTATACGGGCTAATGGATTTAGTTTTATTATGTTTAATTGTTTTTATTGTGTGTTTGTGTTCAGCACTTTGGTCGGCTCTCATGCCGTGTTTAAATGTGCTATACAAATAAACTCGGTATGGTATGGTATGGTTTAGGTTGGGTTTAGGTGGGGCAGCAGTAGCTCAGGTGGTAGAGCGGGTTGCCTCATGATCGGAGGGTCATGGGTTCGATTCCAGCTCCCGCCAGGGGTATCTTGCTGTTGTGTCCTTGGGCAAGACACTTCACCCAACTTGCCTGTGTTAGTGGTGGTCAGAGGGGCCGACGGCGCCAAATGGCAGCCTCGCCTCTGTCAGACCTCCCCAGGGCGGCTGTGGCTACAAGTAGCTTACCATCACTAGCAGTGTGTGAATGTGAGAGTGTGTGAAAGCGTCTTTGGGGGTCTTGAAAAGCGCTATATAAGTTCAATGCATTATTATTATTATTATTATTATTGAAGTTCTTACCCTTTAAGCATAGCGCTGGCATCCGCCTCTTCGCTAATTCGTCTCATCATCCCACAGTTTTCCAGAGCCATTCTCTCCAGCAGCCGGTAATCCACATCATTACCCATACCGATTGTGAAGATGCAGAACTTCTCCTGCACTGCTGAGCGAGTGTTCCCCAGGATGGAGGTGGACTGGAGTTCTCCGATAGTAGGCCGTCCGTCGGTCAGGAAAATGATGAGAGTGACGCTGTTGGGGCTGCTGTCTGGGCCTGACAGGTACTCACGAAGCAGAGAAGAGCCGCTCTGGATGGCCCCGTCAATGTTGGTGCCTGCAGTAAACATTCAGGAACCAAGTCCGACTTTAGAGGTATTTCTGCTCCGAAGGAAAGCTCTTCGTCTCGTGCCAGCAAAATGTGGTGTTTTAAACATGTGCCTGATTTTTAATTTTTCCAAAAAAGACAGAAAACACATAGATGGCAAACATTAGACATAATATTCCCTCACCTCCATTTGGCATTAGTGTAAAAATAAACTTCTTGGCATCTCTGATATTCAGCGGTGTGACTGGCACGAGCCGATTGGGCTGCCAAACTTTGATCCTATTGGCGAAGCTGATGAAGTTAAAGTTATCTCCTGGTCGCAGATCCTTCAGGATGGTAAATAGGGCATCTTTGGTCTAAAGACGTCACAGATAGGAAAAAGAACACAGGTAGTAGTTGTGCTTCCTCATATTTCTGTTAGGTACTAGCCACCTGCTCAGGGCAGGTCCACCAGCCCACCTTTCACTTCAACAAAATTTTTAGAAACAAAAAAATTCTTTCGAAAGTGAGAAAAATCTTTGGCTTTGCCAAAATTCACTAAATTAACTCTTGATTTTAAAGTTCTCAATCACTGAGAAACTGTCTATTGCTTGTTCTTTTGAAAAATCAGTAAAAATCGGTTTCATGTGCACGCTGTACGTAAAAATCTCCTTTAACCCCGATCCCCTGCTTTAGCCGCAGAAAGGAAGTAGACAGGAAAACAACCGAGTCCAAAAAAGCTAGTGTCTTCTCGGTCACAGAGAAAATCAATATTCATGGCCCCGCCCACGGGAGGGGGGGTGGGGGGGTGGGGAGCAGAGCGCGTCGCGGCTAATAGAAGCTAATCGTTAGCCTTAGCATCTCCACAACATGGAGGAACAGGTTCAGGTTTGTGTTTTCTGTGGAAATAAAACATCACTGTTGCATTTTTCTCCAGAAAATATGTTTGCAGTATTCAGAATTTAATTTAATTTAATTTAATATTTCATTTTCTTTTCTTTTATTTTATTAAGATATTTGTTTTCATTTTTATTTATTTTAATTATTATTTATTTATTATGAAATGTTGATTTTAATTTTAATTTAACCAGATTTATTAATTTATTTATTTCTAAATCGCGCCTTACAGGCAAAAAGATGCCACCAGATGGGTCGATGAGAACTCATTCCCATCTACAGCGACGATCTGGCCAAGAGGCAGCAGCAACAGACGCATGGTTAGCTTTACAGATAAAAATACGATACGACAGTCAGACATAAAGGTGAAGGACTGTTCTCGTGTATAATATGTACAAGCAATCAAAACGGACTTAAAACAGTACTCAGAAGCACATTGATCAGAAACTATTGATCGTAATGAATTATTGAAGGTAGATAATAGAATGTAGGCAGAGAGCTTCAGTGGCTTTTGCAGCTCATTCCCGTCGTTGGAAGCAGCAAACTGGAATGAGGAGCGACCGAAGGAGGTGCGAGCTTTGGGAATAATAATAATAATGTGCTGGTTGTTGGAAACGAAGGCAGCTCAAGAGTCACATTGCTGTTTGCCAATTAGAGGCGGGGCGTTTGCATGTCATTAATCAGGACTGCATTGCCTCAGAAGGAAATTTTGCTCAAGAGCCCCATAAACCTGTGGACTGGCCCCGATCAACTCTGCACTAACAAAGATCTCCATTCTTCCATATAATTTAATTTAAAAGTGCATGTACCAGAAAAACTCTGTTATGTGCATAAGAGCTCAAATGCATTTAAATGCAGAGGAAAAGCGTCTCTTCCTACCACTCTGTCTTTACAACCACATCTGGGGTGTATCATTTGGGCCGGTGGGGGTTCTGGGCCGCATACAGCAGGGGTCAGAATGACAAACTGACCTCCGCTGAAACCATCCATTGTGAAGCCACATCAAAACACACTTGTTCTGTTTCTTGGGCTCGCTGGGGATGGGTGGGAGGGAGGGCAGATGAAGGGGTCGTGGGTGCTTTTGTCTGAAAAGTTCCATTACCACAGAGACAACGACCTTCCTCCCTCACAGCTCGGCCTTGTGCTGTACTTTTCCACTTTTCCTTCTGGATTCAGCTTTCCTCTGGTGCTGCGCTCTTCCCTGCTGGCAGCTGCAGCTCTGGTTGAGGGCTTGATCGTGTCAATGCAGATGGAAGAAAAGGTTCTGATACTGATATTCCAGAGTGGGTGGGGGGGATTATGTGTCCTGTCTGCTGCAACTATTAAAAAGCGGCTGAAAATGAGGGGAATTCCTTTGAACTGTTAGAAAGTTCATCAGAGCTCCTCTGACTCACTCTGAATGATTCATATTTTCTGGAACATTTAGCTGTTTTGTTGTGAAAATGCAGACAAACACAACCTCACAAGAGAATCTATCAGAAAGTATTTCCGCCATTTTTAATGTTTAGCAGATCTTATGTAGGAAGTAACCTCTTTTTGCTAAAAGTTTGCATTTCCTTGGAGGAAAAAGAGAATTTAAATTCTTGTTCTCAGCTTCTAATTTGACATATTTTAGGATCCAAAGACTATTTTCAACACATCCTTACTTTTTAAATTTTGGAATAATTCATTTTAGGTTTAGTGCTTTCTTCAATCAGTTATAGGGACCAAAATGTGCTGACCTGCCAGTTTGAGAGTTTTAAAGGTGTGGGAAACTCATTTAATCAGTGCATTTGCGGTGGTGTCTAGTATGAATGCCTTGCAAGACGTATTCGGGGCAAATAACGCCCAGAATTGCTTGGATCAGCATGGATAAGTCTGCTGCTGCAGAGAGTGGCAGCAGACGACAGGATTTGGAGTCTCATTTCTTTATATTTGGACCTCTCCCCTCTGATTGGCTAATAGCATCACAACTCTACCACTGGCTCTGGTTGCTCTGCAACGTTGATGTTTTGTTTCCACAAACACAAGCCTGGAGGAGTTTTTCTGTTTGGTGAAGTTGCTAATGCTGACAGTTAGCTCTTACTAGCCGAGACGTTCTCTCCTGGACGCTAAACTAGCAACAGCCTTCCCCGTCGTGAGTCAAGGTGGGTGAGTCCATGAATGTTAAGTGACAGTGTGACATAGATCTGTCAGAATTTTCTATCAGGATCAGAAACTAATACAGGAGATAGGTGTAGGAGACTATTTTCATGTACAGCCTGCATGAAAAACGCAGAGTGAACCACTAGCATCAGAAATAATCATTGAAGAGCAAGTCACCCCCTACCAGAGTATTACTCAACTCCCACTTCCTGTTTGAAAAATGCAACAAATGCTGTTGCCTAGCAGACCCAGAAGGCGGAGCCGCTAACAAATACACACACACACAAACACACACACACACGCACGCACGCACGCATGCACGCACGCACGCACACACACACACACACACACAGGCTCACAACGACATTGTGACATCACATGGTACCAGCTAACGTTCTAGGGTACCTCTTAGCCAATAGCGATGGCAGATTAAAATTCAAATGCAGTGCAGAGTTTTTACCTGACAACACTGACAGTTTTAGGCAGAAAATTTAAATTTTAACTAAAATGCACTAAAGTGCTAAACTATTGACTACACGTGTCTGCAGCAACGCATTTATATAGTTTATCAGGGAAAAAAAGTAGATTTGAGGGTGACTTGCTCTTCAACACGTTTTTTCAGAGTTCCACACCTTTAAACTAAAGGAAACAGAACTAAAGATTCAATTTTCACCACACAACAAGATAAATGAACTAAAATCTCTTAAATCTGCTGAGTTTGCTGGCGTACTTGTCTCATCTTTGTCCCCAACATCGAGGCGCTGGAGTCGATCACAAACACCACATTCTTAGGCACGGCAGGTAGATCTTTGGGGGCAAAGAAGTGGACGAAATGCCCGTTTAAAACCTGGAAAAAGAAGATTGCAGACATGCAGCGAACTGTGAGGCAGGTGGGAGGAAGCCAGAGCAATGGACGACTAACAGGTGGGGGGAGGCGACTGTCCACAGAGTTGTGCCTCATATTCAAACCTGGGCTCATCAGTGACTTTAATCCACACGGTGGGGACGTGAACTTCACCTCACCTGGATGTCTCCGATCCCCATGTCTCTTTGGACATCGTAGCGGATCACAAAATCTCCCAGAATGCCGCTGGTCGAGATCTTGGCTTGCTGGACGATGTTGGGGCTGAAGGTGATTTTCCAGACGGTCTTTTCGTTTTTGATCACCGTGGTGACGGGAACTTCAGACTTAGCTTGAGCACAAAGACAGGAAGTGTATTATCATTTTTTTTTCTTTTGGCTTCAGATCAAAACACTAAAATAAATAAACAGTCTTTAAACTTTAAGGAAACCTAAGCTGGTGCCAGATATCTGTGCTGTGTTTTAGACTAAGAGGAAGAAGGTTTTGACGATTGAATGAGCGCTGTTTGAGGTTTTATGACAACTTTATCAGTAAAACCTTTTCACATCCCTACTTTTGGTAGTCTGGCTCCAGGTCAGGTCCCGGCACTGTGGAGGCAGCTATTAATGCCTTGGACAGGACGCATCATTGTGTTGATGTGTCTGCTGATCTATTAACAGCCTTTAATTCTGTCGTTGACGAACTGCTGTAACACAGACACTGTAAAAAACCGTTTCAGTTACAACGCTACGAAATGGGTTAGAAACACCTTTTAGTTAGACTACAGTGAGTTTCTACTGATGGAAGAATTCATTCGTCCAATGGTGGAAGAGCAGTTTTTCTGGAGCATTTGTTCCTCAAAATGCCTTTACCATGCTGATGGCAACCAATAAATTATTTTGTCAAAAAAAGGAATTAGTGTAATCATCTCTGAAATGCAATCCTGGAGAAACTTCATCCAATCGTTGTGAGCGTCCCATTCTTAATGATTGGATCCTGATCCATCCGTCACTCTCGCCCCTGATAGGCCCAGCCAAAACCAGGTTGGGACCCAACCTGTTGGGTGCATTGGCTAGCATGTTATTCAGTGACAAATGTATGTTAGGTTAGGAATTATGGCAGAAAATTTGCCAGAAACGGTTAGAAAAGGTAAATCAATATTTTTTTATGTAGAGTATTTGCTGCGCCCGGCATTGCGCTGCAATCAGGAGGCGTGGCCTAGGGTGATGAGGCTGAAGAAAGGGGGTTGGACCCTTGAATTGTGTTTTTTCACACTGTAGCCATCTGGAAAAGCTTCTAGAAACTCCTACACTACCATTAATCCAACAGCAAAAGTCAAGAGGTGGACAGATTTTACTACATTAAAATAGTAAAAAGGCACACAAATCTAATTAAAAACTATAAAAAGTAATATTAGAATATTTCAAAATGGCTTCTTTCAGCAAACTAGTAGAACGTGAAAGGATGTGTAAACAAACACAAGCCTTTGCCGAACTTGAATGTTGGCAGTACACAAAGTTTGTACAGAAAATAAAATACAATTGTGGCGTCCAGAAATGGTCAGTTTTCATCTACAGTTGACCTCTTCAGTATCCGGTCACATGGAGACATAAGTCTTAACTGGAACCTTTAATCTGCTAGCTTCTGTTGCCTGACCAAGGTCCCTCTCAAGTTTCCTCTTATCTTTATCTGCTTTGCTTCACAGAACAACAAGAATGAACTTTTATAAGAATGAACCGTTATAATAACGAATACTGGATGATGCAATGGAATACGTAAATAATTATATGGTTGAATGAATCTGGTCTTTGTTGACTGATCACGTTGTCTGGTAATGACTGACTCTGATTATGAAGCAGAATATTGACTCTGATGAAGAAATTCACTCATCCAGCCGGGAAGGTTGACGCTGCTGCAGCATCAGACAGCTGGTGCTGCACGAGAGGTGTGTGGAGTTTACAAGCTCCAAACGTTGGGTTTGATGTTGGTTTAGCCTTCTCTGGGACGTGATGGATGTAGAAATGATGGTAAAACACCGCTAACGTGACAGACGTAGCGACAATGTAAAAAAAAAAAAACATAAAAAGAGGCAGATGCTGATGTGTTAGGTATGGAAATCAAGTGTGCCACATAATCATAAAAAAGGTAAAATATAAAATTTTAAAAGAGATTTATATATTTATATATAAATTAAAACTTTCCAAATATAATGAAAATGTATAAATAACGTAAAAATATAAAGGAACATATGTTGGTCAGGCTGAAAAGTTTGGGAACTACTGCTCTAAGTCATAAGTGAATATTGTTTTTTAAATATATTTTATGTGCAGTTTTTTAGGGCTTTTATGTTTTCTGTAAAGATCGGTACGCTGAAAATCATTTCATGTTTTGCATCAAGCTGAGGTTTTGGTTAGTAATTGATTGGGAGAATAACAAATGACTGAATTAAGTAGTGGGGCGCCTCTGTCAGTGCGCCCCAGGGCAGCTGTGGCTACATCGTAGCTCATCACCATCAGTGTGTGAATGTGTGTGTGAATGGATGAATGATACACTGTAGTGTAAAGCGCTTTGGAGTCATTACTCTGAGAGGCGCTTTACAAGTGCGGGTCATTTATCATTTATAGTGTTGATCAGGCAGAGCTTTGTTGCAGAACGGCTTCAAACACGTATGTAAAAGTTAGTTTTTACGTAAACCGTTGGATGAAATTACACAAAGTGACTGAGCTCTAGTTAAGGCGCTTGCAATAGTGTGTGTGTGTGTGTGTGTGTGTGTGTGTGTGTGTGTGTGTGTGTGTGTGTGTGTGTGTGTGTGTGTGTGTGTGTGTGTGTGTGTGTGTGTGTGTGTGTGTGTGTGTATGTGTACGTGTGTGTGTGTGTGCGTGCATGTGTTTGGGGGAGGGTACATTGGAACTTTGTCCCCCCCCCCAGTTTGAAAATCCTATCTGCGCCCCTGTCATAATGTCGTGTGTGTGTGTATTTGTTAGCGGCTCCGCCCTCTCGGTCTGCTAGGCAACAGCATTTGTTGCATTTTTCAAACAGGAAGTGGGAGTTGAGTAATAATCTGGTAGGGGGTGACTTGCTCTTTAAAGAGTCTTATTCACAGTGTTAAGAAGTCATCGTATCTGAGGTGGGCGTGGTTTTCTGAGGGACGTTGGTAAATACTCAGAAATGTGTCCAATTCTGATTAGCCAGTCTTGGCCAAAACTCACAACAAAGTAGTTTAATAAAACAAGAATTACTTCCCAATTAATTCAGCCCGATTCGGCCAAATCAGGAAAGAAGCCTCTTTTGAAACAAACTCCTTTGACCTCTTGTCAAAGCCTCTGTAACGCTGCGGCTGACGCCAGACAACCGGCTCTTCTACGAGCCAAGCAAACATCCACCTTAGATGCAAACAAGCATTCCAGCTTCCTGCCTTCACCTCAAGGGATCTCAGTCTGGACGGGTCCTATCAGAACGTTCTACGAGTTCCTGACATCAGAGGTTCACTCCACCGGCAGTAACCCGAAAGACACCCCGGATCGAACCAGAACCTCCACACCAAGGGTGCGTAGACTTATCACGATAAACAGCTCTCCGGTTTACAACAAACAACAAATTCCTTTACACCCAGATTTCACCATTTCTCTCAGATACAAAGAACAGTTGCTACAACATCTAGCTTCCGTCACAACACCTCTCATCTCATTATTCATATCTTGTCATGTATGAATTATTAGTTTAGGGAAAAAAATTTCATTTTATAAACTATATACAGTAATCCCTCGCTACTTCGCGGTTCGTTCATCGCGGATTCGCTGCTTCGCAGATTTTTTCTTTGGAGCATTTTTCACGGGGAATTCGCAGATTTGCGGTATTTTTCACTGCTTTGCGGTATTTTTCTATGCGAAATATCAAGAAATTCTTGTTTTTTTTCATCAATTTCATCATAAAATGCACTTTTTGTAATAAAACTAAAAAAAAACAAGTAAAAAAATTTTTTTCTTGAGTTTTACCCACAAAAACAGAATGTGATCATACGATAATTCAATATAGTACTGTATGTCAGACAGGTCGGCTGGATTCGGGAGTTGAGCTTGTAGGGAGCGTGGTTTCACAGACGCGGAAGTGATAGCATCGGTGAAACGCCGGCTGCTCTAGGAAACCCCCGAGCGTTCGAGCGTCAACGAAGTGACACGGAAATGCCGGGCTTCCCAGAAGTAAGAAAGATAACTTACTATGAGCTGATAGTTCGTTGGATTGATCGGTAGGTTGGAAACTCTGATCATGAATCTGAAGAAACGATGACTGAGTGGTGAGCTGGAAAGGCGACTTCCGTTTATAGCCGCGGTTTATGACGTAGGTGCAACGTGGAGGGAATCCCCGCGAGAGGCATGCTGGGAGTCCCTACTTGGCGGATTTTCACCTATCGCGGCCAGGTCTGGAACGCATCTACCGCGATAAACGAGGGATCACTGTACTGACTCTGAATTAATACGAAGTGTGTTTATGGTCCCTAAAGAAGCAAAGAACCCTATAATCTTCTGATTAAACATTCAAAGATCAATCAGATTTATATTTCATATTCATGTGGAATCATCACATCTTATTGGTCATAATTAATATGTATTAATTGCTACAAAGATGTTAGTTTGATTAAATAAAGATTAAAAAGTTGAAACAAAATCCAAAAAATCTCCATTTTTAGTGCATGAAGACTCAACTCACTTCTCCCACCTGGTGTCTTGGGTGTGTTAGGACGGGCTCCAGAGTTTCCAGAACCACTGATCTTGCCGTTGCGGAGCGGCAGAACCTCCAGGTCGGTTACAGGTGAGTGGTCGATGATGGTGACGTCCAGGCTGAGGCGACTGACCAGCTGCGTTGGTCTCAGGCTGGTGACGTGTTCGTAGCGTCCTAGCCGTCGCTGCAGAAGCTCTTCGTACATCAGCAGGAAAAAGGCCCGATTCCGACCGGGAATGTTAGCCGTCATTTTAAACAGCTCTCCTTCGGGTTCTGGACTGGAAAAGAAACAAAGAGGAAGTGGTCACGTGTGTTTTCAGTAGATTTAATTCCCTAAAATGTTATTAGATTGTAATAATTGCAACATAATCATCAGAGATTTAGGAACATCATTCTGATTAATGAGCAAAAATAGTAGCTTAATTAAAATCAATAACTCCAAAAATGAAGCAATATTTATTAAAATACCAACAAAATATCGCTTTTACATCTAAAGAATGTTTCATTTTTAACTTGTTTACATTAACATAAGGCCTTGGGAAGTTTTTTAACTACACCCACTCAATTAATACCTTAACTGTATAAAATAAAATAAAAATATATCATTTTTGTATGTTTCAGCTTTTATTTTTTCTAAAATCAAACTGCATAAAATAGAAATAATTTTATGTACTGTGTCTACATTTTGTGAATGTGAAAGAACAAAATAAGTTGTAGCATTACGTGTTTTTGTTTCTGTATTCAAATAAATAGAGCCACAGAATAAAAATGAATGCAAGTTATAATAATCTCTTAATCTTTGTGAGGAAGATGATCTGTGCAGCTCGAGGCTCACCGTCATCTTTTAACAGTTACAGATAATTATTTCATTCAATTCAATTTTTTTTTGTTAATTGTTGCTTCACTTTTCACAACTTTAGGGAAAAAAATACGTTTGAAGACAGGTTAGTTATTATTACATTGTGTGTGTTCCACCGTATCATGAAACTGCCACCACTGTGCTTTACTGGACTTTGCAGCAATCCGAACCTTCTGGCCTTTATCTGACACAAATTATTTAGTAGTTTCTTTAGAGGTTTTTTAAATGACTCACACATTTTAAGGAGTTCATATTGTGTTTTTTTACACTGTATTTCAAGTATTCGTTTCAACATTCATAGTAGATCCTTCGGTGTAATTTTTCCACCTCTTGAGGATCCAGTCACATCTTTTATTTCTTGTGGGAGTTGCAGACACCTGGAAGTGATATGATGTCACTTCTTCCATTGGGTCAACGATTTCACAGGCAGATGTGGTCTGCAGAACCGTGCCGGTGCAGCCCGTTAATCCCCCCAGATTATACACACCAACTCCTTGTTGAGTGGATCTGGACGGAACACAGTTGGCCCGTTTCTGTGTTTGGGTAGAAACGCTGCAGGAAGTGAATGCTGCCGTGTAATTAGGTGGAGATGCAGGCAGCAGGCGTGGTCTTTATCACACACACACACACACACACACACACACACACACACACACACACACACACACACACGCACGCACGCACGCACGCACGCACGCACGCACACACACACACACACACACACACACACACGATCTTCATACCTTGTGTCACTTGACTCTTTGTTCTTGGGTTTGCCATTCCCCTGCTTGGCCCTCTTTTCCTTCAGTCTGACTTCGCTCTGGTAGACGCGCCCTCCAATGATCCTAGTTCAAGGGGGTCAAAGGTCAAGCTTTAGAGTACCACACATATTCAGACACACTATTGTCGAAGCTCAACCAGGTCTGTCGGGCACAAAAGACTCACAAAATGCTGTCAGTACCTATTTAAGGGGTAACCGTCCTGCACACCAGCGACCGGATCTGTGCTTGTGTGTCAGTGTTTCAGCGTAAAACATAGAAATCTGCAGGTTTCTGGAGCAAACAGGAGTTGGGACAAACCCAGAGGATGATGATAATAACGTCGTAAAGCCGCGTCTCAAGATAACATAAAACATTTTACTCAGTTTTTACTCGCCGGCTGGGTCTCCTTAGATAAAAAAGGTTTACCTACCTGAACTCAGAGTACTGATAAGTCGGTTCAGTTGTAATTGTGACTTAGTGAAGTGCCTTGAGACCACGTATAAATTTTCACTTGGTGCTGTATAAATAAACTGATCTAAATTGAATTCAGTTCAGTTTTATTTTTTTAAACTCTTCTTATCATTAAAGGGGCATTATGGAAGTGTGACAGCCAAAACATGTATAGAAATAATAAATGTCTTCTTCATACGTTCTCCTGCAATGCCCTGGTCCTGTAGAATGAGCCCTGGCATTTTTACTGTGATTGCCTGTTTTTCTGTAAAATCACAGAAAAAGAGAGATGCTCGGGTCGAGCAGGCTGCTTCATGCGCGTTCACGCTCAGGCATCGCCCGTAGCATTTGCTATCCGTAGCTTTAGCAGCAGAGAGAGAGGCAGTGCCACTTTGTCGCTGTTCCTAACGCCTAGTGACAAAGCTAGCTACATTTCTGAGGACCCTTAGCTACTTTCTGTAGAACTTTCTTCTAGATATTTCCTGCAAATTAGCAACAAAATAGCCGTTTTCACTCCGAACCGTTCTTTGTTTCAGCTGTCATCAAGGATATAAAAGTTACAGATAACAAAAGATGTTACTGGAGCTTTAGCTCACCTAGTAAGACGTCTGACTCTCATGCAGAAGACCTGGGTTTGATTCTGGATGTGAACATAGTTTATTTAGAGTTTCTTTTTTACATTAATGGCATTTTTTTTACAGTAAGATGCCCAAATTTTTGTTTGGGACTCGCCGAACGGCATTGAATTCACAGATAAAAAAGATGTGGGTTCAACTTTCATTTTGGAACAATTTTTCAAGCAAGGGAAGGGAATGATCTGAGCATGCAGGAGGACTGACCCATCATAAACCTTTGTCGCTGTGCTGAAGAGAAAGCTACAGAACCACATTATTTAATTTATTAGCTGCGCGTTCTCCTGTCCTCTGTCCTCCGGGCCACACACACACACACACACACACACACACACACACACACACACACACGCACGCACGCACGCACGCACGCACGCACGCACGCACGCACGCACGCACGCACGCACACACACAGGGACTGTCTCAGCTGTTATTTTCGTTAAGGAGTGTGCACGTACAGCATGCGCGTGTCACGGTCTGTGGTGAGCTCCCTGCACATAACCAGCTTTTCTGAACATTGTTTGCAGGTGGGCGTGTCTGAGAGTCTCCAGCTGCAGCTAATCCTGTCATCACGGTCCAGGGGATTTAAGGAGCAGTGTGACTCTTCACTTCGCCGGATGATTGCTCAATTTGGGTAGCTCTAGCCTCTGACCAGTTTTTTGATCCTGTGTTCCTGCTTGTTACCAGAATAATTCGCTAGATTTCTTCAACCTGAAAAGACCCTGACTTCTCTTCCCTGCTCTACTCCAGGTTTCACTCCACACTCCACCATCTCAACACCAGCTCGGATCCCTGCACTTCATGTCACGCTGTCTCCTCCCCTGGCCGCCCGCTCTCAGCCGCTCACCTGCACTCACCAAGCCTCTACTCCTACCTCCTCTCCGATCCAACAGTTCCGCCTCCTTCTGGACCCCTCCTGCTCACCCGGACCTGACCAATCCCTCCGGCAGTTCTCACCACTACTACAATCAGTAAGCTCCACTCCCAATATCATTCTCCGTCATTCCCTCCATATATTCACTCTGTCTCCCTCCTCAGAGTTCCATCCTGACATCTTGCTGCCAGCCTGCCCGTCGTCTGTTCCCGTCATAGCTCTTCAGTATATAATAAAGTCGTTTTACTTACTTACCGGTTCCTGTGTGGTGATTCTGCATGTCGTGGGTCAAAAGACTGCCACCTGCCATGACAGAATCATCCGGCCATAACGATCCCATTGCAGAATCCAACCCGTCCGCTAATGCTCCGCTCGCTGTTTCTGAGGTTCTCACACGTCATGAACACGCCATCCATGGTTTACTGGAGCAAGTCTCCGATTCCCGGCAACGTTTACTCCAGATAGACACAATGTTGCGTAATCTCACTACTCGCTTAACTCCCCCGGAACCTTCAGTTCAGCAGCCTCCAGTTTCTCTCCCGTCCGCACTTCCGGTTCCGCCTCCCACTGTAAACTTCCGGATACCAAACTCTCCTCCTTCAGAGACCTATTCCGGTGAGTTCGGCAAGTGCCGGGGTTTTCTATTTAATTGTCAATTAGCTTTCGAAAGATCGCCTGAAGCTTTCATGTTAGATTCGGTCAAGATCTCTTATATTATCGGGCTACTCCGTGGTAGAGCTTTAGATTGGGCTGAAGCCAGGAGCCATGACATCGGGTTTCTGCGCGGTCCGCTCTCATTATTTCTTGCCGAATTCAAGCAAACTTTTGACCACTCGGAGTCCCCAGCTGAGGTAGCTAAAAGAGTGTGGAATCTCCGTCAGGGAAATCGATCTGTAGCCGATTTTGCCATAGAATTCCGCACGCTGGCAGCAACTTCATCCCTCGATCGTGGCTCATTACTGGGAGCTTTTACTCAGGGATTAAATGATCGCCTCCAGGATCAGTTGGCGTTGTGCCAAGAACCCCCCGACCTAGAAGCCCTGATCTCCTTGGCTATAAAGATCGAAAAACGTCTCAAGGAGCGTTCTAAGGGTTCTAGATTGTTGTTTCCACCGCCAACTCAAAACAGAACACCTCTGTCACCAGTCTCATCTTCCTTGGGAGATGAGCCCATGCAGATTGGCAGAACCCAGCTGAGCCAGGAGGAGCGGCAACGTCGTTTCTCCGCTAACCTTTGCTTCTACTGTGGTCAATCCGGGCACAGAATCTCTAGTTGTGGCTTACGTTTAAAAGGTCAAGCCCACCAGTAGTTCCGGGATTACTGGTGGGTGGTGATGGTGGCCTAAACTCCCGATGTTTGCTTTCATGTACTGTGGTGTTTAATCAGAGAAGTCGTGTGTTGAAGGCATTACTGGACTCCGGATGTGAACGTAACATGCTGGACCTATCAGTCGTTCAAGCTCTGGACATTCCCACTGTTCCCCTTCCGACTCCTCTACGAGCATCATCCCTGGATGGAAACACCCTCACTACCATAACCCACCAGACCGTGCCAGTCAGCTTATTGGTGTCAGGAAACCACCAGGAAAGTATATCTTTCTTTGTTTTTCCTTCTCCTCACTCCCCTGTAGTCCTTGGATATGATTGGCTAATGACTCATAACCCACAAATAAACTGGAAAACATCCCAAGTCACTGTTTGGAGCTCTCACTGCCTAACTAATTGCCTTCGTTCTGCTTCACCTGTCTGTTCAGCACCAACAGCCGATTCACCTGTTCCCCCCGACCTGTCAGGAGTGCCGGAGGAGTATCATGACCTCTCCCTTGTGTTCAGCAAAGACCGAGCCTCTTCCCTACCTCCTCACCGACCTTATGACTGTGCCATCGATCTCCTGCCAGGCGCCACGCTTCCATCTAGCAGGTTGTTTAGCCTTTCCAAACCCGAACAGCTCAGCATGTCCACCTACATTAATGAATCACTTGCATCTGGTATCATCAGACCATCCACTTCACCACTGGGAGCAGGGTTCTTTTTTGTTACCAAGAAGGATGGTTCACTTAGGCCATGCATTGATTACAGAGGGCTAAACCAAATTACGGTCAAGAACAAGTATCCTCTTCCGTTATTATCATCCACATTTGAACCTGTTCAAGACGCCACCATTTTCACTAAGCTCGACCTACGCAATGCTTATCATCTCGTCCGAATCAGGGAGGGCGATGAATGGAAGACTGCTTTCAAAACTCCCCTTGGTCATTTTGAATATTTAGTCATGCCTTTCGGTCTCACTAATGCCCCAGCAGTTTTCCAATCCCTGGTCAATTCTGTTCTTGGCGATTACCTGAACCAGTTTGTCACCGTCTATCTGGATGATATTCTGATTTTTTCCAGATCCCCAGCTGAACACCGTCGACATGTCAGATGCGTACTCCAACGTCTACTGGAAAATAGGCTCTATGTAAAAGCAGAGAAGTGTGAGTTTCACGTACCCTCAGTTAAGTTCCTCGGCTTCATCCTCGAGAGCGGGCGGTTGAAGACCGATCCGGAAAAAATCAAGTCTGTTCTCTCCTGGCCTACTCCCACCACACGCAAACAGCTTCAACGCTTCTTAGGTTTTGCAAACTTTTATCGTCGTTTCATTAAAAACTACAGCCAAACTGCCACCCCTCTCACTCAGCTCACATCCATTAACAAACCCTTTATCTGGTCCCCCTCTGCTGAAGAGGCTTTCCAAGCCCTGAAGAACAAGTTCACCCAAGCACCCATCCTGACCCGTCCTGACACTTCTGCCCAGTTCACCCTGGAAGTGGATGCCTCAGATTCTGGTGTTGGTGCAGTTCTGTCACAGGTTTCCCCCTCAGATCACCGTCTCCACCCATGTGCCTTCTTCTCTCGCCGTCTCTCCCCAGCTGAGCGCAACTACGATGTCGGGGATCGGGAACTGTTGGCCATTAAGCTGGCACTGGAGGAATGGCGACACTGGCTGGAGGGGGCTGAACACCCTGTCATCATATGGACTGACCATAAAAACCTGGCATACTTAAAGGAGGCTAAAAGGTTGAATCTTCGACAGTCCCGCTGGTCCCTGTTTTTCTCCCGTTTCCACTTTATCATCTCTTTCAGACCCGGTTCCAAAAACACGAAACCTGACGCCCTGTCCAGACTGTACTCCTCCGACAAGGACCCCGAATCAGCTCCTATTCTGCCACCATCCTGCATCGTGGGCGCTGTGGACTGGGACATCACTAAAAAGGTTCAAGAGGCCCAGCAGACTGAACCCGATCCAGGTACCGGTCCACCACAGAAGGTTTATGTCCCTACCCGTGTACGTGGTGATCTTATACACTGGGCCCACACAGCTAAGTTCTCACTCCATCCCGGGGTTGGCCGCACACTGGCTTTAATCCGTAGGACCTTCTGGTGGCCCTCCATGTATAAAGACGTCCGTGAATATATCAGTGCCTGTTCCATCTGTGCCAGAAACAAAAACGGTAATCAACCTCCAGCTGGTCTTCTCAACCCTCTTCCTATACCCACTCGCCCATGGTCCCACATAGCTTTGGATTTTGTTACCGGTTTGCCCTCTTCTAATGGTTTTTCTGTAATCCTCACCATCGTTGATCGTTTTTCTAAGTCCTGTCACCTGGTCCCTCTCAAGTCTCTCCCTACTTCTGCCGAAACAGCCAGCCTACTCATCAAACATGTCTTCCGTCTCCACGGTATTCCTGTTGAGATCTTGTCCGACCGTGGTCCCCAGTTCCTGTCCCGTGTTTGGAAGGACTTCGCCAACCACCTGGGGGCCCGTGTTGCCCTGAGCTCCGGATTCCATCCCCAGACGAACGGACAATGCGAGAGGTTGAATCAGGAGCTCGAAGCCATGTTGAGATGTGTGTGTTCTTCCAACCCCTCTGGATGGAGTTCCCAACTGCCCTGGGTGGAATACGCACACAACGCTCACACCTCTGCATCTACAGGTTTGTCCCCATTCGAAACCGTTCTGGGTTACCAGCCTCCTCTATTTCCATCCATTCAGGACCCTCCTACCTCAGCCCCCCAGTTCATTCGCCGTGCCAGGCGCACTTGGGCTCAGACCACGGCGGCCCTTCAAAGGACGGCTGAACGCAACCGCCGCCTGGCAGATCGCCACAGACGACCCGCTCCTGTGTATGTCCCTGGGCAGAAGGTCTGGCTCTCAACCAGGGACATCCGGCTGCGGGACACCAGCAGGAAACTGGCTCCGCGGTTCATTGGCCCATATCCGATCACTGACGTCATTAGTCCCTCCACTGTCCGCCTGGCCCTGCCTCCGTCCATGCGTGTCCACCCTGTGTTCCATGTATCCCTGCTGAAACCTGTTCTGTCCAGTCCCTTGTGTCCTGCCCCTGCTCCTCCTCCACCTGCCCGGCTTGTCGGTGGTGGCCTGGTTTACCCGGTCCGCCGTCTCCTCGACGTCCGTCCCCGAGGCAGGGGCCTCCAGTACCTGGTGGACTGGGAGGGGTATGGTCCGGAGGATCGTTCATGGGTGCCTCGCTCCTTCATCACTGATCCGGATCTCATCAGGGACTTCGAGGCCTCTCGGGCTTCCTCCTCCTCCGCCTCCTCCTCCTCTGCTCGGCCGCCAGGTGGCGCCCGTTGAGGGGGGGGTACTGTCACGGTCTGTGGTGAGCTCCCTGCACATAACCAGCTTTTCTGAACATTGTTTGCAGGTGGGCGTGTCTGAGAGTCTCCAGCTGCAGCTAATCCTGTCATCACGGTCCAGGGGATTTAAGGAGCAGTGTGACTCTTCACTTCGCCGGATGATTGCTCAATTTGGGTAGCTCTAGCCTCTGACCAGTTTTTTGATCCTGTGTTCCTGCTTGTTACCAGAATAATTCGCTAGATTTCTTCAACCTGAAAAGACCCTGACTTCTCTTCCCTGCTCTACTCCAGGTTTCACTCCACACTCCACCATCTCAACACCAGCTCGGATCCCTGCACTTCATGTCACGCTGTCTCCTCCCCTGGCCGCCCGCTCTCAGCCGCTCACCTGCACTCACCAAGCCTCTACTCCTACCTCCTCTCCGATCCAACAGTTCCGCCTCCTTCTGGACCCCTCCTGCTCACCCGGACCTGACCAATCCCTCCGGCAGTTCTCACCACTACTACAATCAGTAAGCTCCACTCCCAATATCATTCTCCGTCATTCCCTCCATATATTCACTCTGTCTCCCTCCTCAGAGTTCCATCCTGACATCTTGCTGCCAGCCTGCCCGTCGTCTGTTCCCGTCATAGCTCTTCAGTATATAATAAAGTCGTTTTACTTACTTACCGGTTCCTGTGTGGTGATTCTGCATGTCGTGGGTCAAAAGACTGCCACCTGCCATGACAGCGCGCCTCGTGCACGAGCCTACTATTGAAGCTGCCGTTACGCTTTTGGCCTGAGGGGGCGATCGCGAGCATAAAAATTCAAAACACCGTAAAGTCCCTTTAAAGTGTAAATTATGATTGACCATGAAAATCTGAAAATGAAACTTTTCGATTTTGTGTTTTTGATCTTTTTGATGTACTAGGTAGGGTTTTGAAAGAAAACTACTTCACATTAATGTAAGAGTATCAAGGTGATAATAATGTGTGTAATAAGGTTGAACTTTTTATTCAAACTTGTTTATTTTGTTTACTATTTTTTATTTTCAGTCAAGCTTTAATGTGACAGGTAGGGGCAAAAATATGGCTGTCTTGTCCGTTAAAAGGTTAATTGCTTTTTAAAAAATAACCCAAACTTTGAAAATGTGGCTCCACAACAGGGGGGCAATCGCCCCCCCACCCCCACCCCTTCCTTTTATCCCTAAAATTCTCCTGAGAGTGATGGTTGAAAAGTCCTTTACAGTCATTTAAATGGTTTTCCACGTCTCCCGTATGTAGTTTTATTTACTTTATAGAAAGTATTTTTCCTCATTTTTACCTAAAACAATCTTTGTTTTCTTCTATGAAATAATGAATCAATTAAGGTGTTTTTGTGGATATTTTATTGTCTCCATTTGCATCAAGAAGATTTTTAGACAGTTCAAATCCAGAGATCCGCTCCTGGTCATCCAGTTATGCCAGATTTTATTTCAGGCCCTAATAATCCCGAGTAACCCCTGTGTTGTTCTTACATGGTGAAGTTGGAGACGTACGCTCCAGCGGGGATCTGGAACTGAAAGAGTCCCTCAGCAGCAGCGGAGTGCCGGTTCAGCATGGCGCAGTACACCGCCGTGAACGCGTAGCGGGACAGGATGGTGGTCCTGATGGAGAGCTCTTCGATGTGAGGTTTGGTCTCCTGAGGGAGACAGAAAAGTGAAAGCGCTCTCATCCTGATAACTCGTCCCAGTGGCAGCTGCACTTTCCTGCTGACTCGGTGACTGAACAGGCAGCGGAATGCGTTGATCTCACATCATTACAGATCTTCTGGCACGTCCGCGCGCTTGGCGGATCTCCCGCGTAACGCCTTAAGCGCACAGCCTCCACTTTTAAATGATCAAATCTGGGTCACCCGAACACAGCTTAATCAAATGTTGTTGTTCGTTCAAATAACATTAGTTCATCAAACGGTTAGGCTAGTTGCGAATTCTTACAGGAGTTAAACTGCAAGCAAAGCGCTGTCCCTGTGTTTTCATTTAAATCGTAATTACCTTGACAAGGATCGTTTTCACCTGCCGGGGGACCCTGCGTGGCGCCTGGAGAAACGGAAAGTGGTCAGAGACAGACGGGAAAAGCACCAGAGTGCGTAAAGCTGCAGATATCTTACGAGGTCTAAAGCAAAGTCTGCCCAATCAAAATCCTCATCTCCCTCCAGCTGGCCCAAAACACTGGGACCGAAGCAGAACACCAGGACTAACAGAAGCATTTTGGAGCTCGACGCCATTAAAAGTCCTTAAAAAGATGAATGGGTCATGGTGTCCTGAGTCCGAGTACGAACATGCGTCCAGACAGACACCAGACTGACGGGACTGGGACTCTGAGCAGAGGAGGAGGATACGCCCACCCACCAGGAGGAGATGCCAGAAGAACCCTGTCTGATGCCTTCAGGGAGGGCAGGAGTCGTGGGTTCCAACGGGTTATAAATTCAATTCAATTCAAAAATACTTTATTAAGCCCAGAGGGAAACTGATTGCTGTAGTAGCTCAGAATAATAATAATAATCAAGTCATCAAAGAGTTGTTGTATATTACAATGGCTGTTGGCAGGAAGGATCTCCAGTAGCGGTCAGTGTTGCAGCCAAACTGAAGAAGCCTCTGACTGAAGACACTCTTCCGTTGTCGGACAGTCTTGTGAAGAGAACGCTCAGGGTTGTCCATCATTTTCTTGATTCTCTGGAGAACCTTCTTTGCATCATCTCCTCCAGTGGTTCCACAGTCGTCCCCAGAACAGAACCAGCCTTTCTTATTAGGCTGTTGAGCCTTTTCAGCTCCCTGCTTCTGATGCTGCTACCCCAACAGACGATGGCTGAAGAGATTACTTGTAGAAGATCTGCAGCATCTTGCTACAGACACTGAAGGACCTAACCTAAGCATCCTCAGGAAGTGCAGTCTGCTGTGTCCCTTCTTGTAAACGGCTTCTCTGTTCTTTCTCCAGTCTAGTCTGTTGTCCAGGTGAACTCCAAGGTATTTGTATTCCTCAACCACCTCCACTTCTTCTCCCATGATGGAAACAGTGTTTGACTCCACCCTGTTTCTTCTGAAGTCTAAAATCATCTCCTTTGTTTTGTTCACATTCAAGGTCAGATGATTGGTTCCACACCATGCCACAAAGCGCTCCACCAGCTCTCTGTACTCAGCTTCCTGTCCATCTCTGATAAACCCGACGACTGCAGAGTCATCTGAGTATTTCTGTAGATGACAGGTCTCTGATTTGTACTGGAAGTCTGAGGTGTACAGGGTGAAAAGGAATGGTGAGAGTACAGTGCCCTGTGGTGCTCCAATGTTACTGATCGCCTGGTTTGATGTGTAGTTCTTCAGCCTCACAAACGGTGGTCTGTTTGTCAGGTAGTCTTTAATCCAGGCGATAGTTGAGGCCCCCACCTGTGTCTTCTGGAGTTTCTAGCAAAGTACATCAAGCTGGATTGTGTTGAATGTACTGGAGAAATCAAAGAACATGACCCTGACAGTGCTGCCTGCTTTGTCCAGATGACAGTGGGCTGGTTGAAGCAGCTGGATGATGGCATCTTCAACTCCAACTCCATGGCGATAAGCAAACTGCAGCGGGTCCTGATATGTCCTAGTTTGCTTATTCAGGTGGACCAACAGGAGTCTCTCCAGGACCTTCGTGATGTGGGATGTCAGGGCAACCGGTCCGTAGTCGTCACTGACTGATGGGCGAGTTTTCTTTGGAACTGGAACGAGGCAGGATGTCTTCCACAGGACTGCAGTCAAATACATGCGATGGTCATTTCCCCACCTAAGAAAATAACGCATGTTTTCTCCACTAGTTGACATGACATCCACCATGAACCAGAGCAGAACAAAAGGGAGAAAAACAACGCAGCTGCTCTTGATGAATATAACATCTAGTTTCCAGTCAGGTTTCCATAGAGCTCATTCCACTGAAGCAGCTTTTCTTAGGGTCTCTGATGACCTTCTGACCCACAGTGATGCAGGGGACTGTTCTGTTCTGGACCTGATGGCAGCCTTCGACACTGTTGACCATCACCTGCTATTGGAGAGGCTGAGAGACTGGGCAGAAACTGCTCTGGAGTGGTTCTCCTATCTGAGCGTTCCTTCTTTGAGGCCGTCGACAAGTTTTGGTCCTCCTCAACCACCCTCGTCCATGGTGTCCCACAAGGTTTTGTACTGGGAACTCTATTGTTCTTCCTCTATCTAGTGCTTCCTTTCCAGAACATCCTGATCTCTTTAAAAATAATCTCCTGTCATCGTTACACAGAGGACATTCAACTCTCCTTTAAGCCCTTATAAGCTGCAGCTGCTACATTCCTGCTTAGATCCTAAAACCTGGATGGCTGGGAGCTTTCTACAGCTGAATGAAGATACGACTGAGGTCCTCATCTGTGCTGTGGAGAGGGAAGTGTGGGCCATAGGCTGCTGCTCCTGTGACCGGACCTCAGATAAGCAGATTTTTTTTATTGTGCTTGTGAAGCACCTTGTGATTTTATTTGGACTGAACTATGAAAATATGAGGTTGAATGAAAATATTTAAAATCAAATCTAAATAAAGAAAGATATGAAGGTTCATTAAAAATTTGCTCAAATTAATATCCAAATATTTCTTGTTTAATCTAAATAATTAAGATTAAATTAAGATTTGTGAATAAAATATACATAAATAAAATAAAAGTGACACATTCAAACTAAATATGAAAACAAAGACAAGTAAGCCCACAAAAGACCTCCCATGTAACTTCTCAGTGGAAGTCTGTTTTTGTCACTATGGGACAGAAACGTTCATAGGACTGAACACATTTTTGGATAATGCGAAGAAATGAGCTTAATTTAGGTTTTGTGCCATAATATTTTTTTATATTAATAAAACTAAATTTTCACCAAAATCACACGATTACTCTAATTTAGGTTAAAAAAAAAACCTCCTTAATGCAGTAACTGTGCCTTGGCACCACCCTGTGGAGAACACGAGACATTACACTAACAGATGATTTTATTCTTCATTTCTTTGACATTTTATCCCGAAATAAATAAATCTCATGTTTGGACTTTCATTCTGGATTTGAACCCTTAACTTAAGGATGCCACTATTCCTGCCAACCGCACTCACCCCCCAGGGTCAGTTGGTCCAGTTACATCAAACACAACAAATATTGACCGGAGCTGGACGTTGATCCGTTCAGTGGATTTTAACCTCCAGGTTTCAGCTCCATCAGGCCCTCCACTCAGAAAGACCGTGTCACTTCCCTTCTACTGCTTTCATTAGTATAAGGTTTATTTTTTATGTGTGTGTGAGAGAGAATATGAGTGTGTGAGTCCACAAAAACCCTGAAACATGAAGTGTGTGCTGCTGCTGCTGCTGCTTCTGGGGCTCCTGGCTCCCCATCAGAGCTGCTGTTTTGAATTTGTGATTGACGGAGAATGGGAAGACGACTTGGTGAGTAACAGAAGAGAAGTTCTGAATTTTTAAAAATGAAAACAAACTTTTATTTTATTAGAAACCAATTTATTTATTTCTATTTGAACCGATCAGATTTTAAATGCATTAGTTGTTTATTTGAAGCTTTTTTTAATAATATAATCTGGCTACAGATCTCCATTTTATTGTCCTGTTTTTTTCTTATAGCCATAATAATAACTGACATTATTTCTGCTCCAAAACTGCAGTTGGTGTTATTTTAATAAATTTTCACATAGTTATTATTAATTGAGGCTAAATGACAGACGTGTCCTTCTCTCCGCCAGCCAGAAGCCTGGAGTTCTCTGGATCATCAGGAGAGGAACAAAGTGAGTTTGGTCTGAAACCTCAGATTTTATTATGTGTCTGAAGAACATAAACTGTCTTCATGCTGCAGCAGATCTTCGGAATCATCCGAGAGCTGTTTATAAACCCTGAAATACTAACAAATGAGTGTTATTTTGGCTGATGATTCCAGAGAGCGATACTGACCAGTGAAGAGGAGGAGGAAGACTTTCAGGTATGCTGTTTAAACCTCCTCCACTGTGACAGAGTTGAGCTTTATCTAACAATCAATGCGTTGCTGTTTGAGGAGACCCTCGTGACTGGCGGGTTATTGACTTTCTTCTCTGACTTTGTCTTTCTCTGCGTAACTCATCAAGTTTTCTTTTCCTACGTGACCCCTGACCTTTTACTGCTGTGCTTCAGTCTCTGGAGACCAAACAAACCTTCTTTATGAATTTCATCTATAGATGCAAATTTAGATTCAAGAGGCTTCAGCGGCTGAAACGACGCCAAAGGGAATCATTGTTCACTTTAATGAGGAATGAATAGAAAGATCTCTAAAGCATTTGGTCTCTTGTGAAGTTAAACGGGAGTAGCTGAGTGCTGATGAGGCGACATCCAGATTTTGTGTGAGACATACCGTTATAAAGATTTGACCAAAACTCTGTTATGGAAAGCAGAAAATTCAATATTGAGATGCGAGAACTTGAATTTATGATGATTTGAGTTTGGTGAAAATTTGTAAAACAGTGTTGACAGATTATTGTCTTTGAAGATATTCCTAAATCCACAAAAAAAAAACCTCTCCAGTCAAGTCAGGCGTGCCCCAGGGCTCTGTCCTGGGGTCCCTCCTCTTCAAAATTTATCTCCTCCCTCTTGGCAATATCTTCCACAAATTTAGTATCCAGTTTCACTGCTTCGCGGATGACACCCAGCTCTACATTTCCAGTAAACCTAACTCGTGGACCTCAAGGGATAAACCATCAATCCTGCTCAATGGTCAACTTTCTTTGCGGGGTCACCCATGAAGACATTGGGAGGGTTAAAGGGGTGTGTCTAAGCTTATGATGTGTTAAACCAGATTTTCTCAGAATGAACTATTTCTCAGCCATTACAACTACAGACATGTAGACTCCCCATGGACTGGCGTTGCCTTTAGAGCTCCGGGAGCTAACATCACTTCTTTCAGCATGCAACAGTACAAATTGAATGGCGCCATCTTGGCAGGCAGTTGCCCGCAGTTAGGCTATTTGCAGAAAACCCAAACTAGAAACAGGAAATACTGTAGATACCTGTTGTGCCCCAGGATGCCATAACAGACGCAGACAAGATAAGGGAAGAGCCAAATTCCCCAAGATCCGGAATACATCAAACATTGGATCATCGCAATAAAACGCACTAGTGACCAGGTTAAAACGACACTGTGGGATCCCGGGAGCAGAGGTTTTTGCTTACGCAGCGACCACTTCATATCAGGTAGTTAAACCAACGTTTCCTCAACTGTGTATGGTATTAATTTAAAATGCTGGTATTAATTTAAAATGCTTTCATTACGATTCTTAGTGGGCTTCCTAAACTTATTTTGACGTGACTTTTTATGTCTTGTTGCTCATAGCAACAAGTAAACACCACGTAAAACTTTGCCTGCTTGATTCCATTTGTTTCCCTCCTGGATTTTGCATGCTCTTAGCGATGCTTCGGAGTACGACGAGGGAAAACTAATTAAGAAATTATAAATGTCAGGGTATGGTCATGGTAAGGATCGGAGATGTTCAGTCTATTTAGTTTCTGAGTACATAAAACTGTATCTTTGGTGAAGTAAACTCCAATGGAGTAAAATCCATGCCTGCCAGCATGCTGAGAATCACATCACATCTGGAGCTCTATTGGAGTTGCCAGAGTGGCCAGCCGCCATATTGGATGGGTCTGCATTCACCCCAAGTGCATTTATTTCTACTGAGAAACGTGATTTATCTAACTAAAACACACATTTTATTATGCTTTTTCACAAAATCAGACACATGGTATGGCATGGTAATTAAAATATAAATATAATTAAACAAAATGAACACAAATCTAAAATCCCAACAAGTAGGCTACAAATGTCACTTGTAATGTCCTAGGCTCCACATAAAGCGGGCGTAGTTGCCCACTCTGCATTGACTCCATTTGGGTTTGGAGCGTGAGGAGACCCATCCAATATGACAAAGATGCTGTTACGCTCTCCAGCATCCAATGGGGCGTCTACGTATTCATATCTATGAAAACAATATCACTAATTTACAATGGACAGCAGATCAGAGACGACACAGAGTTTTTGCTACATTAGACGCCTCAAGCTGCCTTTATTCAACAACGAGGTAATTGGCCCCTTTAATGTGAATAAGCTTTGAAATATGCACAACACTTTAGCATAGGTGCAATATTGCCACTTTCTGGACTGGAGTGTGCAATTATAAAGGTTTTTTCTGGTATGCTACATGTTCAATAATTAGGCTTGGGAATAAATAAACTTCAATTGTAGGGATGCAATGATACCTCTTTTTTCCAAACCAATACGATACCGATACTTGTATCAGAGTACTTGCCAATACCGATCACCGATACCGATGCTTCTGCCACACAAGAAAATGCTATGAATTGGAATACAGGTTTTATTTTCTTTGCTTTAACAGGAAAAGACTGTGAGTTAGATAAAAAGTAAAATAAATGAATATAAGTGATCACAAAACTAAAATATTAGGTGAACAAAAATGACAAGTTACAGTGGAGCCATTTTCAAGCAACTGCATTGGTATCGGTTCCTGGTATTAGTTAACTTTTACCGATACTGATACTGGTATCGGTATCTGTATCGGTGCATCCCTAGTTAAAAGGGAATCAAAGCAATTCTGTCAATAGTGCAAAAGGTTTGTAGATCTAATTTTATTTATTTAACCAGGAAGGTCCCACTGAGATCTAAAACCTCATTTTCAAGGGAGTCATGGCCAAGAGGCAGCAAAAGTTACAGTTACTAGACAAGTTATGTACAAAGTTACAGAAGGAGAGTTCTTAGTCTGGATTTAAACGCATTCAAGGAGATAAACTCGGTTAATTTCAGCCTGGTCCGTGCAGAAGGAGCAGAGTGAACGAAAGCCCTTTTGTCCAGTTCGGTGCGAGCTAACGGAAAACAAAGTAACAGCTGATCGTTTGACTGTGAGAAGTTACACTTCTCCTTGAGATTAAGTTACAGATGTAGGTGGTCGATATCCAAGCATAGCCGTATAAATGAAGGTGTACCAATGTCCCAACCTCCTGGTGGACAAAGAAGGCCGTCCCACTGGAGAATACAATTCACAAAGATGGGTCAGTGGTCTACAGTTGGTAATAAACCTCGGCGAGGCATGATAAACCACATCAACCTTATAGACACTGTGCTGAGGGATTCATATACAGAGGTGATGCTGTGACTAGTGGTTTCGTTGCCTCAAACGTAAAACACAGTTTGTTTTTAAAAAAGAAACCCAGTCTGAATTTGAGTTTCTTCACAAGATTATCTATACAGGGTTTAAAGGAGAGGGAGTCATCGAGCCAGACATCACGGTGTTCGTATGTGAAGACCACCTCTATGATGTTTCCCTCAAGAGTGGCCACTGAGGGCATACTTAGAGGTCTTTTTTAGAGTTAGAAAACAACATTAGCTTAGCATTAAAATGGAAAATGAGATAACCGTTTGTTCTTCTTTAACGCTCGCTTAAGTCTGTTTTCCTTATGAAAAGGCTGTTCGTGGAGAAGACATCACTGTCAAAAGCTACAAGGTGGAGAGCCGTATCACGTCACGTTTTGCTCACACCACCGTCAGGAGCTCGGTGGTCAATTCAGGACCCGAAGCTCAGAGCATCGTCTTCAACGTGCAGATCCCCAAACGGGCTTTCATCTCCAACTTCACCATGTGAGCAGGATTCACGCATCTCCAGCTACCTACCACTCAAACTGAACAGGGGTGAGTCTAAATTCTCTTTGGGTTGCAGGAATGTGAACGGCATCACGTTTGTGGGTTCGGTGAAGGAGAAGACGGTGGCCAGGAACCTGTACGCTCAGGCCAGATCCAGAAACAAAGCAGCAGGCATTGTGAGGTGCAGGACCAGTCCAGAATCAGTGGTTAAACTGGCTCACACAACTACTCATAATAAAAAAAATACATCTTTCTCCTTCAAAGGGCTAATTCTCAGGACATGGAGACTTTTAAGACAGAGGTCCACGTTCCTTCGAAGAGTAACATTGAGTTTGAGCTGCACTACCAGGAGATGATGGAGAGGAAACTGGGATTTTACGAGCATGTGCTCTACCTGCAGCCTGGAAGACTGGTGCCACACTTCCAGGTCAGAAGCTTAGGATTAACGCACCTGCTTCTTCAAGCAGTCCTCTTATAACCCAGGTTCTTCTACACCAGGTGGACGTGTACATCTATGAGCCAAACGGTATTTCTATGGTGGAAGCACCAAACCTACTTGGGGATCAGTTTGCAGAAATGATTAAAGTTACATCCTCTAAAGAAAAGGTAAGACCGAGACAACAGCCGCATCAGAAACCACGTTTTTTTGCTGATCTCATCTGTCCTCAGGCTCACGTGGTCTTCAAGCCCAACCTGCAGCAGCAGAGGAAGTGTGAGAGCTGCACAGGCAGCGCTGTAGAGGGCATCTTTTCCGTCAAATACGACGTCATCAGAGACACTAACGCCGCAGAGCTGCAGGTACCACGCATTTTCCTCTAACAAAAGCAAGTTATCAATATCTAATTTCTAACTTTTAAAACCATCTGAACGCAATGTCTTTGCTTCTGTCAGGTTTCAGATGGTTACTTTGTGCAGTTCTTCGCTCCTTCCAACCTCCCTGCTCTTCCTAAGAATATAGTATTTGTAATCGACATCAGTGGGTCGATGTGGGGCGTGAAGATGAAACAAGTGAGTGGGAGTTGTCCTTTTGCTTCTCATCCGTCTGCATGTTCAGCAAACAACTGCTTGTGGATATTCTCCAGAATGCATTCAATTTCTAACCTCTCATAGACAGTTGAAGCCATGAAGGCCATTTTGGATGACCTTGAGTTGGAAGACTACTTCAGCATCATAGACTTCAATCATAATGTACGCTGCTGGAGTGAGGAGCTGGTGCCTGGTTCTGCTATTCAGATTGCCGATGCTAAAAATTACATAGAAAACATCAAACCTAATGGAGGTACAGTGGAAGATCCTGATGCGTTTAAGTAGGGCTGCTTTTATAAACTGAGATGAGACCACTTTTATTGACAGGCACCAACATTAACGAGGCGCTGATGAGAGCAGTGCAGATGCTGGTGAGGGCATCCAATCAGGGGCTCATCAACCCCAGATCTGTCTCCATGATCATCCTGGTCTCTGATGGAGACCCCACTGTTGGTAAGACCGGGCACAAACCCGAGCTGCCATTGTTAGGTGAACTGTTTTTATTATTTAATCTTCAGGCAGAAAAATAATGTAAATACAAACTGATCCAACCAAATCAGAACAATCAAAAGACAGAGCATGAAGGTTCAATTCAATTAAATTCAATTCAAAAATACTTTATTAATCCCAGAGGGAAATTGATTGCTGTAGTAGCTCAGAATAATAATAATAATCAAGTCATCAAAGAGTTGTTGTATATGACAATGGCTGTTGGCAGGAAGGATCTCCAGTAGCGGTCAGTGTTGCAGCCAAACTGAAGAAGCCTCTGACTGAAGACACTCTTCCGTTGTCGGACAGTCTTGTGAAGAGAATGCTCAGGGTTGTCCATCATTTTCTTGATTCTCTGGAGAATCCTTCTTTGCATTATCTCCTCCAGCGGTTCCAAAACTGCCGAAACTCTGGCTGAGTCCTTGAAAGGGCTTGGAGTTCCTCCATCTTGTTGGCCAGTGATCTCACATTGCCCGTTATGATCGATGGAAGAGATGGTTTGAATTTCCTCTTTCTCTGTCTCCGTCCCGCTCTGCACCCACGCTTCTTGCGTTTTAGCTCATTTGGGATTTGTGGCTTCAGTTGAGGTATTATTTCAGCCTTTCCAATGTTAATCAGCTGCTCCCAATTGTAAACCAGCTTGTTGCCATGGTTACGCATCATAACAAATGCTCAAAAAGTGAAAAAATTGCAGAAAAAATAGCTTCACAGCACCAGAAACAGAAAAGTAAAGTGTCCAAAAAAATACAGTTTTTCTTGAGAAACTAGAAGAAAAAATGCCCAAGAAAAGGCAAAACTTACATATAGTCAACAGAGCTACTCCAACATGCAGCCACCCAGAGCAGCGCTGTTCCGGAGGAAAATAAAGTACTGAAGTTTAGCTGAAGAGCACACACTGGCAAACGTATCAAAACCTGAATGAAACAATAAAGCCCAGTCATGTGGCTGCTTTAAACTTTTATTTAATTTTACTTTAAATTTGAGCAGTTTCAACGTTTGAAGCAGTTGAAGGATTCTACATTCATTTCTAATGGGCATAAAAAATAAACATAAAAAGAAAAACTATAAAATAGATCAGAACCATTTAGCCAAATCAAAGACAGTCGTGAATTAATAGGATGCTTTGATATATAAGCTGTTGTAATAACACAAAAATGGCAGAAAAAGAAGAAGCAGTCAAACCATTTGTGAAGGAAGACGATGCTGTCTGGGGCTGCAGCGCCTCCTGGTGGACATAAGTGGATAGAGCAGCAACAACAATGTAAAACTGCAACTAAAAACAGAAAATAAGTAAGCTCATTTTTGTTTTTACCAACAAAAACTTTATCAGTTGCACTTTTATAGAAGAGCAAACTGTTATGATCGGCCGCTGTACCAGGAAGTACGAGTAGTCAAGAATTTATTTTCCAAGGTTTATTTTAACCCGAGTCACATCTATCGGTCAGGCATCCATGTTACCTCTGCTTAGCACTTCTTCTTTCTGTTATTTTACCCTATACTGCCCCTGGTGGTAGACACAATGCAAACAATTTAAATGTAAAATATGAGACGATTTTCGCTTGTTATTCCTGTTTTATGTTCTAGCTAGCATTAGCAGCAGCAGCCAGCTAGCTAGCTAGCTAAGTACTGCTGCTAAAATGGTAAAATTGGAATCTTAAAATTAAAGCAAAACAAAAATATTTGTTATTTGTAATATTTAAGATCATATAAATTGTTAAATTCAATTGCTATGAGTTAAAAAACAACAACCCTGGAATTTTTGCATAGAATTTGGGGATAATTTGAGTCATTATGGGATGCTGGTTCAGCATCCAATCACCAGCATTCCATCCTGCGCCACCAGCATCGTGTGCTGGTCCAGGACCAAACCAGCACCAAAACACAGCATGTGCTGGTTTATGTTAGTTTTTCCCATCAACATATACACTGGACAATTCATTTCCATAGGCTTCAATAACACGTTTTTGAGGCCAAATGGGAGGTGGCCACCACCGCCATTTTGACCGTGTCACAGGTTTCGTCAAGCCCAGACAATTCCACAAAAGGGAAGAGAGGTGGAGCTGAGGGTGGGGCTGTAAGGCTGAGATCAGCTGACGACACCCGGTTGAACTAGCTGCAAGCTAACCTGAAGCTAACCCAAAGCTAACACAGAGGTGGGAGCTAAGCTAACGGAGGTAGCAACCTAGCTACAACTGGAGTTAACTGTGCACAACACCAGAGCTTCTGAGTCAGAGATGCGCCGGGCTGACCGCTGGGTAAAACCGGGTGGAACACAGAGGTCTCCGAGACCTCCACAAGCCGGCAGCCGCACAGCAGACAAGCGCCGCTGCGATCTGAGATGCGCCGAGCTGCCGCTGGGGAGAACCGGGTGGAAAGGTTTCCATCCCAGAGCTCCACAAGCCGATAGTCGGAACCCAGCTCCACCAACATGTTATATTTCAACCCATTTTCTAAAGTGCAGCATTATGTTAAATGCACTGGGTTTTACCCTATTACATTTAAATTTCATGGTTAAACAGTACATGTTAAAATCTAAGCTCAGCTCGGCAGTGACCTAAATTACATAAATATAATTTTACTTACCGAAAAAAATGAAGTGGAGTCTCCTTGGACACTCTTTTAGTGCAATTAATGCCACAGC